GATTGTTTCTTCTGGTGTGGACTGAGCCCTTGTAACAGCTGTTAAAATGCTATGTTTTCGTAAATAAGATGTTTCAGTTTGCTAATTTTTAAACGTGGTGCTTCAGTATTTGAAAAAGCATATTTTACAGTAACTTTATTGAAATGTGCACAGTCAAATTTAAGTAAAAACTATTTTTTATAACTTTTATGTAAAATTTACTCTCCTATACATTAAAGGAGAAGAGTAAATTATTTTATTTATTCTTTTCCTTTAATAAAAGCAAAAGTACCTTAGAATTGATAATATTTATTTAGAAATTTATGTTATTTTCAAAAGCAAAATCAGTTTTTTAATTCGAAACATGTTTCTGCATTTTTCAACTCTAGGTGCCACTGTTACTTTATATGGATCCTACTCTTGTGGCCTTGCAGTGTTCTCGTCCAACATAAATATCGGACTGGAAACTAAACACAGCATAACAAATGATTATTTGCTTAAGATACACAACTGCATTTCTGAAGGTAAAAACATTTCTGAAGTAAAATTATTTTTGTATTTCTGAAGTGAAATTATTTGATTGTTCTTCTATTTTTCAATTAATATGCCATACTCCTAAGTCTTACGGTTTTTCAACTTACCTTCCCGTCTCCCGGTTAGATAGTCAAATCCCACGGATTTTTAATTTTTTAACTTTCACCAAGGAAAGCTACTAAACAAAATGTTGCGCATAAATAAATAAAATTTATTGTGTTAATGAAACTTAAATTGCATTCCTCCACCGCTAGTAAATTTCAGAATAAATTTTACCATTAAATTTTATTTCTTCTGAATTGTATTATTTTTTCCTTGCCACGTTTTATGATTTTTTTCTTATTAAAGTTTTCTTATTAATGTTTCATTAGACCTGAAATATCTTAACCCTCTGAATACTTTTGTAGAACTTTGTGGGAAGATTCATTTAAATGTTTAATCAGTAAATATCTGTATTTAATTTTAACTTTCTTTATTATATGGTGTTCTAAATTTATCCTCTCAAATGTTATGTGCATTAAATATTAATTTTATTTTCATAATTTTAAAAGTGCTTCGATACATAAAAGCTTTCCTTCCCCACTCGGGAATTTCTCGGTGAAAAAGTGTAATAATTTTAAAAATTGAAATTAGTCAAAGAACATAAAAATTTAGAACTTATAATTAAATACTAATATACTTCACAATTAATATTTCAATAACCCGAATTATGCATTTTAAAGTGAAATGAAGTACGTCTGCAATTCATTTGAAATGGTGTCGAGAGTTAAAAACCTCTCGGTTTCTCTCGCTTTTCGCACAAAAATTTCCCGGTTTTTCAGATTTCAAGGTTTTCAGCTATTATAGGCAATTTACTTTATATTATCAAAGTACATTTTTAAAGGCAGATATTTGTCAAAAAATTACTTTAAATTAATGAATCGTTTAAAAAAATGTCTGTACATGGCAGCACAAAAGGGACAACTGGAAATGTCACAAGTGGGTTAATACGGTAGTGTCTACACTTTTTTTTTTTTTTTCTATTAGGCAGGATTTATCAAACTATGATACATGTACCCTTTATGATGCATTACTTTTGGTGATACATGTTTTACACAAAATATTTAAGTAATGTTCATAATGAACGTAAAATAGTGCCTCTTTTCTTATATACATTGGTATATGAGGTATGTATTTTTTTATTCTTATTAAAAGTGATACAAAATTTTAAAAGTTTGAGAATGCCTCGTGTAAGGCAATTGCTATGAATTTTCTTATTTTTGTCCTTTATAAAATTTAGTTTGTGCTGCTTGCAAATGCCATGTTTTATATCTGAAGAAACTTTATCAGTTTAAACTACATCATATTTCTACTACTACATCATTTCTGTTCTTTTCAAAGGTCATTTAAATTCATGATTTACATTTATACAGTTCTTGCACGATTTTTAGCTCTTAGTCATGAAACATTCTTATATTTAATCAGAAACAAAATATTTTTACTAACTTTGTTTAATAAACAGCAAAGTTGGGAGAACATCTTTTAATTTCTAGAGTGGTCTCCTTTGGAAACAGCATATAACTTATTTCAGTTAATCATTATTAATATGAAGAATCCTATTCATGGTTAATACAAAATCGAAGTATTAATATTTTTGCAAATACAACTTTAAGGCACTAAAATTTTCTTTATTAAGTTTAAAATTTTTCCTTCCTTGTGTTTTAACTTCTCATTATGTCTTGTGAGAAATTTCTGAAAATTTCAATTTCATTGATAGGCTATTTCCTTACAATGAGTTTCACGATTTCGGCCAAGTTATTATTTCATAATTGTCCATAAAGAAAGTATCCGTAACTTTAGATTATATTTTATGCACTAATAAAAAATTTTGTGTGTATCATTATATTTGTGATTATACTTGAAACTATTTGTTCAATTTTTAAAAAAATTTCTGATTGTTTTTCGAGGAATTTTTTAAATCATATACGCTCTGACTAAGATACTGAGTGCTTTAATTTCAATTACATAATTTGTTTAATTGAGATTAATTGGGACTGTATATTTATTACATATTTTCCTGTCATAGTTTTCTTGTTTATGATCATTTATAACACATGGAATGAAATCAACTCCCATCATTTTCTATCAGAATGCATATTTGCTTTAAATATAAAATGTTTCATGCCGTTATATAAATAATATTATATTAGCTTAGTAATTTAAAATTTAATTAGAATGACAAGACAAGACAAGGTTATGGATAATTATTCCATTTTCATAGTTTCTAACTGACTAGAAATATTTTTCGTATTTAATTTATGGAAGTATTTTCACGATCTGTGTACATGCCAATATTGAAATCTTGCCATTGTTTCCTAAAATACGAATTCTTTAAAATTATGTAAATAAAATCTCCTTTTTGAATACATTTATATTGATTAATTGTTTTAATGACAATCTGCATAACAATGTTTGTCATTAATTTTAAAAACAAAAAAAAAATTTAGTTATTTGCAAATGAAAATATTTCGCTGTTTGATTTGTATAGAACCCTTGAATCCCTTGAATATGATTCCAAATTTTTAACTTACTTGTCTCGGTCAATTTTACCCATATAAGAATTAAACGTATATATTTTTTTAGATTTAAAAATGCCAAAACATAAATATTTGCATCATTTAAATCATTTTCATAATTGAGAGTGTATATCTACAAAGAAAACTTTGAAAATAAAGGCCACGCGATAACTTTTATAAACACTCTGTGTAATATACTATATTTTAATAATATTAAATATTGTAAAAATAAGTATTTTTAAGTATCCTGAATTATATTTTTAAATTTTATTCTTTTGTGTTAGTAAGATATATTTCAGAACTTTTAATTGAATTTTAATTTTCAATAGGTCTCAACTATGGAATACTTCCTTTTAAGAAAGGGGTAGTGGCAAAAAAATCTGTGATCCGGTTTATTGAACCTTATAGTTGTATAAAATGCAACTTGATTCTTCTTAGTGAAGACTCAGACATGTACCTAAAAACTTGCTCTCTCCTAAAAGATATCTCGGAACGTGAGCAAAGAATAAAGTCTTTATTCATTTCTGCAAGAATTTGGGCAGAGGTAAGTTCTTATTGGCCGAATTATAGTTCCTGTATTCTAATGTATTAAGTGCTTTTCTTAATACACAGCAAATAAAATTCATTTGAAGTGCATATAAATTCTATGTATATCATATTTTACCTTTTTTTACCATTTTTATTTGTTAATCAGTTTATACATATTACCAGCTGTTAGGGGGGAATTATTTAATTTTTTAAATGTGAATTCGTATAAAAATTCTCAAGATTACATGTAAAATTCTATAAGAACAGTTTCAGTAATTGAGTTTTAAACATTAGTTAACCATACTTTTTCTTGCCCTCTCTATACTTAAGATCATAGAATATGTTTTATTTGCTCATTCTGCAAAAGATATCATGTCTGCAATATTTCCCTAGCAAGTGGTTTCTTTTTTCTTCAATTTACTACACTCCCAAAGTGTTTTATCATAGAAATAAATAATTTAATGCTGGTAAGTGAAACAGGACCTTGGCATAGAGACATAATAGCTTAAACGAATATATTACTGTTTCTATTGTCAGTGGTGGCGATGGAATACAGATGATTAAGTAAAATTTCTGTTCGAGTTTACGAAGTGCTTGAATTGGAAAAAAGAAAAAGAGAGAAAAAAAGGGGGGGATGATTTTTTACAGTGCTGTGATCCCTCAATTTATTTTGACTTTCTGCCATGTCTTGAAGTTTATATGGCGAAAAAAATTATACTGTAAATATGTAAAGCAAAAATAAGCTTACTTTAATAATTTTATTCTATAATAATCTATTACTGCACATTTTAGAATACTACACCGTCCGGACTTTCTGCCCCCTTCCAATATTCGTAATGTCCCATGATGAGTAATACATCAGTTAAATTTTACCAAACTGTGTGTGCTGTATTGTGTATGAATGTTATTCTGGATATGTAAACATTGTAATGGCCTGGCGCTTTATTTAATAGCCATTAGCCTTGCGCCACAACAAGACCCGTAAGTGATGACCACGTCATTATGGAAGTACCTAACAGGTGGCCACCGTTGCCTCCACAAACAATTACAACCATGTCTACTCCGGGATTTGAACTCGGGGTCATTTTTTATAATCAAAAGTTTCGGTTTGAATTCCTGACAAAGGTCCGATGGATTTGCTAAGATTCTGCTACACAAAAATTCTTCTACAAAGATGCTTTACATGCAAATATTTTATTTCTTCCAGCAAATCTCTCAGATGCAGGTTTATTTTATATATTCGAGAAGCTATTTTATTTTATTTTATATCTATTTTGTATACGGAAGCAATTTTATATACTGTACTGTGTTTCATTATAATGTTGAACAAATTTTGTTTCTTTGTTCGTCATTGATTCTATTTAATTTAGGTTTCCAAGCTGGGTGGACATGACCAGACCAATGGTCAGCTACCATATACAGCTTTCAGTATGATGGTAATTCACTTTCTTCAACAATTGAAGAAACCTGTTTTACCTCTGATCGATGTTTTTTCGGAAAAATGGGTAAGAATTTGATAACATGTCAATTTACTAGTGACATATCTTTCTTTTCTTATAGTTATTTGCTATTTTGCAGTCTAGTATGGTATTTTTATAATTTATTAACCAGTAAATAAATACTGCTCCATGCAGATTGTAATACGTTGCCATTATTCATCAAATTATCATATTATGTAAATCCCTTAGATAAGAAACAAGAGCTAAATGACATGATATTATATCAATGTGATTTGATTTTCGCTTTAGTACGTTGAATCTTAAGACGCTTTGATTGGCGATCAAAAAGGAGATATAATTTTTATTAATTTTTATTCAAAAAATATTAAATCTTAATGTGTCAATATTAACTTGAGATTTTCTCTAAGATTTCATTCGTTATAACCTTTTCCGACCTATGAACTCAAAATGCAATAAAATATTTTATAAGAAATCTTTTTTTTCACAGGATTGCTCTACACGGCTGTTTCTTTCAGCAAAATTTGGTGAAAATCTTACCTTGAGCAATTTATTTCGCGTTGGTAAACTAATCAAAGGGAGGTTCTATTTGTGCATTCCTGGAAGGAAAGTGTTTTGGGGAAAGTATTTTATTGCATTTCGTGATTGTAGGGCTTCTGTTCCTTAAAGATCCATAAAGGTCTTCCTTAAAGGTCTTCTGTTTCGAAATGTATAGGAAGGGAGGAGTCTCTGGCTGGTTCCTCCCTTGCACTGTGATGATGCTAAAAAAATGCCGCCCTCACACCTCAAAATTTCTGAACTCCAGTTCCCTCAGCATTACCTGCAATAACCTCAGTCTTCTGCGAATCTAAAATTAATTAATTTCAGTAGTAGGAAAAATATGTTAGTGTATTTTTTACTTGTACGAAGAAGAAAATAAATAATGTAGTTGCGAAAAATTTCAAGTATCATATCTCAACGAAAATATTCATTTTGACTGCTCTCGAATTCATTTGAACGATGTTTTTGTGCGGACAGAATAAAGAACTCTTTTTTTCTAAAAGAGTTATAAAATGGATTTAAAATGGATTCAGAAGATTTTTTGCCCGGACGTCTGTATATATCTCGCATAACTCAAAAACGATTAACCTCAGAACATTAAAATTTTGTATATTGGGATTACTCTAACATGTAATGGTGCACTTCCCTGTTTGGTTGCAATAGGCGCACCAAACATATATTAATAGTATATATATATATATACCCACTGTGTTACTCCGCTCTGTGAGTTCAGTTTTTTTATTGTTATACGTTGTTGCATTTTTTCCTTTAAAATTGTTTGAATTATAATGTTCTTATGTTCCCGTTAAGGTTTCTGTGCCTTTAATTAATCTGCGTACAACAGTTTTAAAGTTATCAACAATTTAAAAGTTTAAATGGTACTAAGCCTTCCGCCATTTGCTAACATTTTAAACTTTTAGCAGAAAAGTGAATTATGTCAGTTCTTCAACTTCATTCTTCACCTTCAACTTCACTCGCACCAACTTCAGTCTCTTTGCCAAGTGGGACTGAAAGTTAACTTTCAAATTTTGTTCATCGAAAATTTGGTCTCTCTACCCGTTAACCCATTTACTTGTTTTGTGTAGAAATTCTAATTTTAATTGTAAAAATTTTTTTAACTGTTTTTAATTGTATTTGATTTTTTTTTTTTTTTTTTTTTTTTTTTTTTTTTTTTTTTTTTTATGAAGATGTTTTGTGTTTTTACGTATTTTTGCCTTGCCGCGAAGTGAGAACTGAATTGATTAAATGCGAAATATATCTCTAAGGAATTCGAGTAAATAAGTTTAAATGATCTGCAGCAAAAAATGTGCAAAATTTAATAAGCCGTACAAGGAAGTCATGTGGTGTCAACATCAGATATTTTATCTAACACAGCAGAGATCATTAATACTGTGAGACGTTTACTATATTTTCAAACTGCAAATTTTTGTTCATACATTTCGTTAAGCTATCGATACACGGCGGATAAGGGAAGACACCTAAGAAGCTACGTTTTTTCATTGTGTAAAAATGCGTGCAAGTGAGAAAGCTTTTGAAATTTTTTTTTAGCCAAATTTGTATGAAACTTATAGGTGTTTTATCCGGTTGATAATTTCATTTGAATATCGAATGAACATTTCATAGTTTTGATAAATGAAAATTTCTTAAGATTAAACTTACATTAAGAAAATTGTTCATAACAGATGTGGAGATAATGCTTATCTAACGGAGCTAATGATAAGAGTAGTAACCCCAGGTACTCGTGCTTCACTTTCTCAGGAAGTGACGTCACAGAAAGGGGGGCGTGGCCTCCGCTATATTGGATTTCTCAGGAAGTGCCGACACCTGCGGCATCTTGTATCACGTGATGAAATGACGTAATCATGTTGAGTTTCATTTTTATGGTGTGGCAGCGATCTTTTCAAAGTTTTTATTTTTGTGGCAACAACCCTATTTTTTATGCTTGTGGCAACGATCGCTTAAACCACGTGACGTCAACTTTATTATTTTCCTTATTTATCAATTATTTTCCTTTATTATTTTAGTTATTTAATCATTTTTATTCATTATTTTTAATTATGTTTCATTATTTAATTATGAATCATCCTTCTTAATTATTTTGATCCGTCATTATTTTTAATTAGTTTTAATTGATTCCATTTAATCCATTTAATATCATTTTCCCTGAATTTTAAAAGCAACTCCACAAGCAGGATTCGAACCCGCCGTTTCAGAGGTTGAAAAGACCTGAGCGTTACCACACGGCTACCCCGTCATCTTATCAAACTTGTTATTTCAGCTTGTCCACCATGATGTCACTAGGAAGGATTGCGGATGCGCCAACCTGCCTTGAAAACGGCGCCTCACATTTGTTTTTTCACGACGGTGAACGAATGCAATCTTGATGGCCAATCAGATCCTTGCTAATAATATCCTTTTTTGTAACCAATGAGCATGTTAATGTTTCTTGAAACTGACTGGAATTTCTTTTGGCTTCTAAATCATTACATTTATTCATTCATAATCATTTAATTTATTCATTGCTGTTTTAAATGTAAGATTTTCCCACATTTTAAATTTTTTATTATTGGGATCTTTTTAATTGTTTTCTTTTTTTCTCATACTTACTAATAGTTTATTAATTTTTCTATGTTTCCCTTTTCCAAACATAAATTTTATTTTTAACTTTCGCAAATGAAGTTTATTTCCACAAAGTGACTTTACATTTTCTTTTTACTTTTTAAATTTGCAAAGTTCCCCCCCCAAAAAATTTATTCCTTTTCGTATTTTTACTTTATTTTTTTATATATATATTTAACTTTCTTTTGGTTTTACAAAAGTAATATTATTTTTACGAATTGCTTTTTTCCTTTACCCTTTTTATTTTGCAAAAGTTTTTTTTTTTTTTTTTCAAAATGTATTCCTTTCCGTATTTTTACTTTACTTTATTTTAATTTTTTGTTTAAATTAATTTTTTTACAAAAGTAATATTTATTTTTACAAATTTAATTTTTCCTTTTCGTTTTTGATTTAAAAAAAGGTGTTACTACATTTTTAACTTTTTAATTTTACAAAAGTTTACAAAAGTAATATTTATTTTCATAAATTTAATTTTTTTTTTTCAGTTTTTGGTTTACACAAATGCAGTTTTTTGTTTTTTCCCTAATGTATTTTAATTCTAAACGTAAATTTTTTTTTTCTTTTCTTTAAATTTTTTTTCTTGTTACATTTTTATTTTACCCTTAACTTTTTTCCCTTGTGTTAAATACAACATAATGTTACACTTCCATTTCTCCAAGGTAAAGTTACCTGCATTTCTCCGTCTACGAAATTTTAAGCTAGGATTTACATGCATATAACGTCACTCTGGACGGATGATATTTTCTGTAACTTTAAACCAATACGCACAATGTTCTTTCTATATACTCCTAAGCTGGAGATACTCAGAACTTTCTCTTCTAATGTAATTCATTAATTACTAATGACTATACTAACTTTTTGGCCAACTATACAAAACTTCGCGGATTTTCTTTTTACACGTCTTACCTTTATTCAAAGGATTCACCAAACTATGTCTGACAAATGTAATTTTTACACTTTACATTTACACATTTACCCTTATATTTAACTTATAAAACATATTCATGCGGTATTTCTGATTCCTTTTCCCCCAAAAAATTAAATACAGACTTACACAAATTTCTTTATTGCAAGACCTACTGACTTTGAACAAATCTTATAAGGAGTAATAAGTTTTCATGGTATGAAGTCCATTCAAACCAATGCATGGGGCATTTCTACCCAGTTAAGTTTATATACTTACCAATAGTACTGCATTTCGTATTATTTTACTCTACAAACATTTATACGTATATATTCAGAACACTCCTTTTTATTTAGTAACATTCATTTATACTACTAACACAAATTTTGCTAACTCTTTGAAATATTTTACAAAAATATCTTGGATTTTCTTGGATACATCCTACTTAAAACATCAAACATACACTGAACCTTGATTTTTCCTTCATGTAAAAACGTCACGGATTCTTAATATGATTCCACAATTTACCGCACAACTTTATAAACACTACTCTATTTGAGCTTATCACAGCCTTACTCTCTTAACTAGGTACAGGAGATTGAATTATTTTTTAACTACAGAGAAGAATATCGACATTGTAACGTATTCTTTTAAATTTGAATTATAGTTACATTTGTGAATAGTCTCAAAGTCTCAATTATAGTCTCAAAGTCTATAAATACACATGGAATTAATATTCAGCCATGGAAATGAAACTTTGTTGCCTTTTTCCCAACTTGGAATATAAAAGTATGTAACTTGGAATATTTTTAACGTATTCATTGTAACTTAACTGAAAGATACCTATATTTTAAGCTGTCAATAATTTATTTAGCACTGAACTCTTACAGCCTTTTGAGAACGAAATTTAATTTATCATACCTGACAAATAATTCCTACATAGTTATGATACATTTCACGAAATATTGAGTAGAGTTCCAAATAATGATCCAACATAATAATTAACGTAAAAGATCTAACACAGTCATTTTAAGATAGACATTTCAAACTGACATTGCTTAACTCTTACAGCTTTATTTGACATTTAACTTCTCATAGATAGTAAATAAAACTACACACAAATAATTATACATAATAGGTAATAATGACAGAAACTCCATATAATCTACTATAGTCACCAACTTTAAATTTTTTAACGCATTTTAATATGTCATAAGAAAGACCACACTTTCAAAAAAGCATATTTTAATTGGAGCCATATAATCCTGCGCACATGTTTTTATTTATCGTGAGCATGACACATAATAAGTAAACATTTTCACAAAGTACGAAACGCATTTCTCTTTAGCGGGCTGTATTCTTAAGAAAAGATGCAGTATGGAATGCTTAGAACCACTCGATACCACAGTTCCTCATTTCCCCACTCATTGATCAAAATATACATATTCTTTAAAATCAGTTAAACAAATACAAATGTTAGTATTCAAACAGGAATACTTCACAAATCAGATAAAAGAGAGGTACACAATGAACTTGAGTGATAAATACAGAAAAGCATGTAAGGACCGAGAAAAAGTTGTGTTCGTGAAGAACTTTTTAAGATAAACTTGCTCTATTTTTCCCCATGGGTTACATTTTGCATTTCAGATTAAGGAAATATTCAAGATAATTCCTGTATAACTAGAGATTTTATTCACACTTGTTAGTAATATAATTTATTAGAACAGTTGCAGATATATAGGATAAGTATGCCATTTCCACGGAAAAACTTTTTCCCAAGCCAGACTTTAACAGTGAAATATAAAATGGAATAAGAAAATGCCATATTTCCAACTAGTTTCATGAACAGAGTATGAAAAATAACTATCAATTTTAAATTTTATTTCGTCTGTAGTACATTTACTTAGGCTAAAATCTTCCATTTGGTTGACTGTTCTCTACATTTAGGCACAAGTTGATAAATCAGAGTGACTTTGTGTTTTAAGGCTTCAGGTTCAGAAATACTACAACTCAAAAGATTAAAACGTCAAGAGAATATACTGTAAGCAATCGAACGTGATAAATGACTTTTTTTCGCTGATTTCCATGAATTCATAGATCGGTAGCAAAGTTTTAATGAACTGTATATGAACTACTTTTTTCAAATATATTACGATCACCGTTTTCCATTTACATAGACGTTAAGGAAACATTTCATGTTAATTTACCTTTATTCATAAGATTTATCTACGTATATGCTAAATTTTTGCATTTTGTTTACATTTATAAACATACAGAAAGAACATCAGAGAATATTTTTCTTGAAAATGTCCATATTTTTTTCCCAAACGCTATTTCTTTCATAGCTTTGAAGTAACCTATTAAACACTTAGTTATCTTGTATTGCCCTGACAGCCGTTGGTCTTGCCAATGTCTGAGAGAAGTCACGAAGCTAAAGAATTTAAGTAATATTTTACCAGTACGGAGAACTTCTTAGGGCGTTTTTGATGAAAATTGACCGAATTTAGTAGTTCATTACCAATTTAGGAGCCTTTAACGATTTTTATTCAAAAAAAAAAAAAAAAAAAACACACTCAGAAATTGTCATCAAGATTTTCCGTACAGATATATTTTTTCTACTTTTCATGCTATTACATTTCCAATGTAATTTGATTCATTGCCAGATAGTTAAATGTTAGTTATTTTTTTTCGCATATGATTGCATTTCGTATCTCGTCTAAGGCCCAACCAGCGGCCGAGCGGTAAAGACGCTGAACACTGGTAGCTCGGTCCGAGGTTCGAATCCGGCGAACGGACTGGCTGCATGGGCGGTCTCAGAAGGAGTCTCAGAAACACGTGGTCCTCCACGTGCAGTGCTGATAAGGACCACGTGTTTCTGAGACTCTTTCTCCTTTATTTTATTTTCTTCTTTCTAGGTATTTCTTTCTCCTGATGAGGAGGGACCTTTAGCTGCCCTCGAAATCAATTGAGTGTTTCATTATACTTACGCTAAATACAAGGTTGTTTTTACGATTTTGATTACCTATGCTAATATTTCTATAGGGAAGTTAGTACACGTATTTTCAAACTACCAGTTCAGTTATAAGGCATTTCTCTCGCCTTTGTAGCGTGTCATCGTGGTGTAGTGGTCTGCACACTCGGCGCGCATTCGAGAGATCCGTGGCTCGATTCCCGGGGACGGCACTGCTCATTTTTCATATCTTCTGCTTCGAATTAACCTATTAGCTCTGCACAGTGCTTATTGTAATCCCATTGCTTGGAGTCCAAGTAAGGAAAGAAATGATTTTTGGATTTGTCGATCAATTTCCCGAAAAAGAGGTTGGTATGTTGCAACTAGGTAATGAAAACCGGAAAAATTCATTGTAGAATTTCCAAAAATGACTGTGAAGAAACCCTCCAAAAAGAATTTTTTTGACGAGTTTGGGTATTGTCGTTAAAAACCACATATTATCCATTGAAGAATTCATCCATGTCAGAAAAATGCGAATACGTCTTTCAAACTGAATATGCAATTTTCAGCACTTATTTCAGAAATCAGAAATTAATTTTAAAAGATTTTACTTTCCACTAATATGCTATTTATTATCTCATATTATTTCTTCATACAACTGCTTAAACTATAGTTTGAATCATGGTATGATTCCTTTATCACGCTGTCTTTTAAATATTTACAATTCTCTATAACAGATGATTTTTTTATTGATTGCAAAACTGACTCAGTACGTTAACCACAGAGCTGCCAAACTTCAAGCTAAAAATGAGACTCCCAAATTTTCATACCATCTTTCCAGGCTCCTTGTAAATCTCCAAATCTCTCCGATTGTAATTTATTTCAATTTAGATTATCTCTTTGAAATGTAGTTTTAGAAGAATTACGGATCAATTAATGTCGAAGAAAAATATGTTACGAAAGAAATTTTGTTCAGAAGTATACTAAAAAATAGCTGATGTCATAATGTGTTGATGAAACTTACACGAATTTCATCTTCTTAGTAGCAATTCTAAACTTATTCTTTCTTATTGATTTCTGCTGTATCTTATCTCTTTTAATCCACTGCAGATATTCATAAAAAATTAATATACATGATGAAAGACAGTACAACATATTATGAAGATTAACATTTAATATAGATGACTCTTGGTGTTTAATTTTAATGTAAATCTTTGCTATTTTGCTTTAATTTAAATGGCGTATTATTAAGTTTATAAGCTCGATTATATGCGTATTTATATCTAATTAAGAGAAAAATTATTAATTTTATTTTTATAATTTTTAAAAGCATTTTCGTAAATAAAAGCTTTTCTTTTCTACTTGAATTTTCATCAAGATAAAATTTTAAGGAAGCTACAAACTTGACTGAAATTAGACAAAAACATAAATAAAATTTAAATTTAGAACAATAAAATACTTATCAAGTTATTATAAATATATATTTCAGAATCATACTATTTACCTTTTTAACATGAATTTTGGGTTATAGGCTGTTTAAAGTCAAATTTGTCAGCTTAGTCTTTGAAGTTACGTCTCAGCGCAGAACGAAAATTTTCCAGTTTTTTTCGTACTTCAAGGTTGGCAGTCGCCAATGTAACCACTTAAATTTATTTTATTTTTTCTAATTTTATCCTTTTTTATTAACTAGATCCATTTACCAAGAAGAATATATCTTCAGGAATTATACTGTATAAGGAAAGGCAATTTATAAAATCAAGCTTTCACATGCTATTAAAATATTTCCAGTCTTCTGAAGAGGAATATGCCAAAGTTGACATTTCTGCTTCCTCGACAGGTATGCTAAGGAACATTTTTTTTTTTTTTTTTTTTTTTTTTTTTTTTTTTTTTAAGGTTTGCATGAATATATTTTTATTGTTTTACCTGTATATTTAGGGTTTTACCCGTATAATAAAAAGAAAAATATATAGAATTAATATTAACCAATAGTAATAAATTATCTAGCAGGAAGGCGCAAATTAGAAACAGCTTGAAGCAAAAACTTGGAAAATAAGCCTGAAAAGCAAATTCATACAAAAATAAAACAACAATTAAAAACTAAATTTAAATACAATTTTCTAATTCCTTGGTCTTTTTTTAAGTAGTAGTCGGAAGGATTATCAACAAAGCCACTTTTCTGCATTATACGCATCAACATGAATATGAAAAAGAAAATAATTTAATAACATTCTCTTTTGAATGCCAGGCAAACGTAATCTAATGAGAATATATTTATTAAATTTAAATAAGATATTTAAAGAATTTTTTTTAAAATTAAACCATTTAAATTTATACATGACTACCAATAAGTATTTGGACACCTATGCAAATGACGATATCTGCGGTCCAAAGGTACGTCACGGACTCCGCCGGTATATATCGTGTAGGAAACAGCATCGGCTTTAGTCGCATGCAAGATGCCTCGCAGTTGAGCTCTCTGATTTCGAGAAAGGTATAATTATCAGGTATCACAAATGTGGCCGATCCTGAAGGGAACATATCTAGCGACCTAAAGTACACAAAATCGACAGTGGCCTATGTGATTAAGAAGTGGAAGGTGAGCGGTGATTGTCGGAATGTGCCCCAAGTCGGCAGACCAACGAAACTGGGAGATAGAGAGACCGACGAGTGCTGTCCAGAGAAATTCGGAAAAACCGCACCCAACCGATGGCCCTCATCCGCGAGGACTTTCAACAGGCATCTGGGAGTATTATTTCAATGAATACTATCCGTAAGGAAGCACATCTGCTTCGTTTTCATGGTCGTGCTGCTGCCCATAAGCCTTTGATCACAAAGTCCAACCGCGCTGCTCTGTTAATGTGGTGCAAAGCACATTGAAATTGGACCGTAGATCAGTGAAAAATGGGTTCTTTGGAGTGACAAATCAAGGTTCAACCTTTACCGTTCGAATGGCAGGGTCTGGATTTGGAGTCTACCTGGAGAACGTCTCCTGCCAGAATGCATTGTGCCAACAGTCAAGTTCGGCGGAGGTGTAATTATGGTCTGGGGGTGTTTCTCCTGGTATGGGCTGTGATCCTTGGTCCCCATTCATGGTAAGCTCAACTCCGATGCCTACTGCACCTTTTTGGATTACAATGTGCTTCCTACGTTGTGGCAGTTTTACGGGTTGGACCCCTGTTACTTTCAGGACGACAATGCCAGTTGTCATGTTTCGACGTTAACCAAGGCTTGGTATGGTGCCAATGGAGTTCATCGAATGGACTGGCCTGCCCAGAGTCCAGACCTGAACCCTATCGAGAACCTCTGGGACGAGTTGCATCGCCGAATTCAGGGGGTGCACTACCTGTGCAAAATCGGTGAAGGAACTTCTATGTCTTCTCCAAGCCGAATGGAAGAAAATACCACTAGCTGTCATACAAAGACTTGTGGAAAGTATGCCCCGGAGGGTCCACGCTGTAATTACCTCTCGTGGAGGCTCTACCAACTATTGATTTTGAATAAAGTTATTTTTTCTTTTCTATGACAGATGTCCAAATACTTATTGGTAGTCAGTGTATAACCTGCGTAGACGCAACTCGAAATAGAATTTGTGCTTAATATAAACAAAATTTATAATTTAAGCATTAAGCGTTACATGGCATAAATAATAACATTAATGAATGCCACATTTACTTATGTATTGTATCCTTTTCCTCCTAATTTTAACGCTTGGAGTCAAAAAAGAGGAAATACGCTATTTTCTGAACAAATGGCTCAAGTGATAAATATAGCACATTAAAAAGTACATTTATATTATTACATTATGTATTTCAAAGAATTTATAAATTTCAGTAACTTTCTTTCTGGTTATTCTAGGTACTTTCCTATTTGTGCTTATATTTTACATTTTTACCAGAAATTAGAAATCATAAGCTGAAAAATTATTAAGCAGTGGCAAATATACGAGTAAATATGGCATAATACATAGTAGTAATACATGTACTTAATCCTATAATGTACTTCTAATACTAAATAAATATAATACCGAGAAATATATAATAATAATAATAATGTAAATAATTAAAATTATATATAATAATAACAGTAATTTAAATAACAAGAAGTACATATACTCTAAATATACAGATGTAAACACATATAAAAAAGTACTAAATAATTTAGAAAACAGTAATGGAAAAAAGAAATTACTATTTTCATTTTTCATTTATTATGATACTATTGCGATCAAAATACTATTACAATTCTTGTTTTGCTATTATATTTATTATATATTTTATAAATTATCATATGCTAAATTTACACAAACTATCTTATGCGAAAATGAAAGAGAAATGTTTAAATTAAAATTTATTCTGTTATGTGTCTGCGTGTGTGTATATATATATATATATATAATAATTTATTTCCTAAACCGTATTGATTAATTGATTATATTATCTCCTAAGTTTAATTAAAGTAGAATTATTTTAATATATACTGGAAAGAGTTGACACATGCAAGGAAGTAGAGTATTTAATTTGTTTAATATTCTAATATTCTAGGCTATATGCATATAATTTACAGGATAGCTTTTGTTGTTTCTCGTAAAAGAAGGAAAAAAAAGCATAAAACAAAATTTAAAAAAAAGGATTTACAAAGTCGTGAAACTTCCTGTCTGTTTAATCGGACGTTAAAGTTCTCAGAGACGTTTATCCTAGTGCAGGATGAAACAGCCTTGTTGCCTCACCTGACCGCAGCTGGTCGTTCCGAGCAAGTTGTTCTCAAATCAAGTAGCGGAAAACGTGCCTATCGACTATACTGTTTCTCTTCGCCGAGAGATTTGAGTGCTCTTGATTGAGCGAACAGGAAAAATTTGCTTTTGGCCGAGCTGAAAACACAAGCAAGGATGTTTCTCTCTTTTTCATTAAATTAATTAACTCCCTTCAAGATTCCTTGGGTGTATCGAGAAGACTTCCTAAATTTTCATTTGTCCAAAATTTTTAGAACCCCTCTCAACTACCAAAAGCACTCTGATTATTTGCGGGTATGTTGTGGAATATTTTCTTGAGATTTCTCAGGCTCTGACTTACTACGTGGTTCGCGATTCATCTGTATTTAGGTTTTCGGTAACAGATAGTCGATACATAACAATGCATCTATAAACAGATAAGTGGGAATTTCAAACGAAGGAATCTCAGATTCCAGATTTTCTCAGGAACAAAATGATATTCTCCATCGGACCACTACGAAAGGAAACAAAGACTTGAACGGTACATAATTACAGGTCACGTTCATCTTTCTTGAGAATTTGCTAAGTGGTTGTTAAAAAGTAATTTTTCCGAGAATCTGAAGACATTAGAACTATTTCTTTCCTGTTCCCCCCTTTGGAAGATTTTTCTTGAAGACGAGGGAAAGTGCACACAGCTGCACTAGTTCGCACGAGTCCACCCCCCCCCAAAAAAAAACTCATAGGAAGTAAAGACCTCTGTCCTTTAAGTAATATCCTCAACATACACTTGTACAGAGACAAAGTTGCAATCAATAATAATGTGACTGATAGACAGTTCACACACATATAAAAAAGTCAATTAGGCATTAACCTTAGAGGCGATAACTTAGCAAATTCAATAATCTGTAGATAGAGAGAGAGACGGAGAGATCTACATCACAATGTATGCTTAACAAAGAAACAAATACTGTTTTGCTACAATTATACATCATACAAATACATGTTCAATAAATTGAAGGGAGCAATCACACTCCAACACAATGTTTCGTTCGTTTCGAGACAAGTCAGCCCGTTGACAATACCTTGGTGGTAAATAACTTCAAAACTGTAAGGTTGCAACGCTATTTCTCCCAAACTAAGGAACACAATAAATCCTACATGGATAGGTAGAGTTTCACATCTTTCCTTTCGTCTTCCTTTTCTCTTTGGGTTAACGGGTTCATTCCGGCTGGATGTCCTCACATATAAGGAGACTATATTATCTTTAAGCAAGAGCTTTATTACACTCAATTAACTGAGCTGCTCGTTGTCCAGTTAATAGTACTCTTAATTTAGATCTCGGCTGGTTACTGCTGCTTTAGTAATTACCCTTCCAAAGCTATTTCCTTCGAGTTCTATTAGTACGAAAGGCAACAAAACCGGTTTTGGGTCCAAGGGTTGCTTGACCAAGACGATCTCCCTTAGCAACATTTTCGATGTTACATGATTCCTTTCTATTAAGTCAACAGTGGATCAGTATCTCAAAAAATTTTAATCTTTCGGTCTATGACTGTCACAGTACTAAAATACGGTCCAAATAGCTAATTTATTTATGACTTCTATAAGGAATAAAACAAAAAAACGTAGTTTCCGTTGTATATTTAATCGCGGGCATCGGGGTCGGAGATAACTCTCTGAATTGCATTCATACCATCTAGGTGCTCTCCGTTTCTCAGAAACATTTAAATTCCATTTCTCGGTAATTTTCTCTTTTGAAAAAATTTCATTGCGAAGCATTCGATCTGAAAATTCTTCTTTCCTCCTTTCATTAAAATAAGAGCCTTGTTTGGTGTAAAACCATTTTTTAAGGGAACTTCGTACTGCTTCATATTGGTCTAATTTCTTGACGAGGTCAGCAGAAGATATGTTTGGCCATTCATCCCCGAAGCAAATTTTGCCCGAAGCGAATTATGTCATTTACGCGGCGTTTAATTTGGTCCGTTAACATTAAATATTTCAGAGAATCAAAGTTCTCGCTTCTACTTCGTTTAATCACTCCTCCAGGTAATGTTTCAGCTCAAAAGTAAAATATTTGTATAGAGTACCTACACGCTACTAGTGCTAAACAAATTTGACACAAAAACCCTCAGAGCTCAACTTAAAACGTTGTAAAAGAATATTCTTTACGTATTTCAAATTATCAGGCTTCTCTTCTAGCTTCCGTAGAATTATAGAATCAATGTCCATCGGCAATACAGCCATTAAATAAGACATCCAATCTTCTTTATCTATATTCACTTTGCGAGCCTGATTATCAAGCATTGCTAAATAAAGCAAAATATCCTATGATTTGGGATTATATCTTTGCATTAAGATTTGCAATTCTGTTCTAGACCTCGAAATACTATTTTGAGAACTTTCGCGGCCATTGCTGGTGTTTGTCAAACACAAACGTTCTAGTTTATATTTTCTCTCCCTTTTCTTCTTGAGTCTAAAATAGTTGGCTCCTTCGAGCCTACCCTGTTCTATCAGAGCTAATTAATTGACTCAAGCGTTGTTTCAACAATTGTTTCGTCATATTCGTACCCTGTATAGTTTTCATGGTCCTGTATTTGTGCACTGTATGGAACCTCTTGATCTAATTCCGAAGACAGATTTATGAGATCTTGTTTCCTACCCTTGCCAAGATATGACGTTTTACAAATTCCAAAAATTTTAGGATGACACAATAAAATACAAAATAATACAGTTTTGTAAAGTTGTTTGTCTACTGTGGAAATTTTCACAGTTCAGAAATAGTAACATTTACACTAAATAACAATGGAATTTATGATACGCATAATATAGAATACGTGAGATTAGCAAAAATGTTAAAGAAATTAATCAGTTCTTAAATAACATATTTCACCTCAAACAGATAACAATACTCAACGCAATAAAATTTGCTAAAATACTTATTGACAAAAAAAAAAGAATTTATAAATAATACATGCTCTCTTTAAAGTCTAAAATTCTGTTTTTAAATTTTGTTCTGCAAAAATATTTAGGGTTATAAATAACTTATCAAATTAAGTATATGAATTCAACATGGCAATTTCATATAACAAAATAAATACTGCCTCTAGAAAGGTTAATGTCCAAACTGACTTACGCTGTTTTGAAGGAACACATTTTTTTTAATTGCAGAAAGCCTTTAATCGCAATTATCGTGACTTCCCTTTCTTCTTTTATCCTTCAGGAAGACTACACTTTTTTATTTCAATTTTTCACTGCATGCAATTCACTGCACAATAGGTAGTACGCTTGTTTCTGCAACTTGTATTCCCAAAACCGATCACTGCACCAATTGTCACCAGGGATCATAATCAAAAAAACCGATCAATGCACCAAACTGATCACGCTGCATCGTCATCAGGGAATTCGTTGCACCATTCTCCTGACGACGAAATGAAACGGCGAAAGATGTAAATTTCATTTTTAGTTTTGCCAAATCCACCCCTTTTTTGCAATTTGCTATGCTTCGTTTTTTTTTTTTTTTTTTTTTTTTTTTTTTTTTAGTATGGGGTTTCTTAAGAATTGAATATGGGCTTTAGACGTATTTTTTATTTTATATTTTCTTTTATTTTGCATTATGATAACCACTCATTACTACTACCAGCACGCAATTGTATTAAATTCTGAGCTTTTTTATTTTTTATTTATTCAATTTTTATTTTGCATTTAATCATATATGTATATATAAATATATATATAAACAATCAAACTTACACTTTTAAAAATACCCTATATTTTCAATATTTTTTTCTTAGCCCTGCAATTTTTTAAACATCCTTTACACTTTAGCAATATGGTAAAGTTAACAAAATTTAATTAATATTACTAAAAATAAAATTCAGTTACTTTATATATTGTAATTATTAAATATTTAGAATTTCATGCCTTGAATATCGTTATTTCCTTTTACAGCATTTACAACTGCGCAGAAATTAAGACAAAATTCTTTCACTTGTTTTGCCCTCAAAGTAAGTATTTGCACATTTTGATTATCTCATTTAATTATCTCAATACAGTCTTTGTCACGTTATTTTTAAGCTGAATCTGCAATAAAAAATGTGAAATTTGATTAGTTTTTGTAAAACATATGTTTAAGGTTACCTGTTCTTTTGCACCGACTAATTTATTTTTGTGCAGTTGATTGTTGCATATATTATTCAGTAATTTTTAAAGCTGCTGCATATTGCAAAGTTCACGTAAAAGTTTTAATCTGAAAGGAAAACACGAGCACAGTTTCCATAGCTTAAAAGTCCTGTTTGTTGTTCTTTCTGATAAAAATGAAAGTTTCAAAATTAAGAAAACCATTTATAAGTATATTTATATTTTTTTTGTATTATGTTGGTATCAAAGTTTTTTAGATTTGGTAGACGAAAAGACTCTGAATCTTTATAAAACAGATATTAAGAAAAAAAGAAAAGCCAAATAGATTTTGTTGCATATTCTTTATCTGGACTCTCTTAAAGAACATTATTTTTCCTATGAAGATCTAGAGTATATATAATAATTGAAATCTGTTGGCACCAAGCATGAAGAGCAAAGTTGATGACATTTTGACAGATCACTCTGAATTGTTAAATATTATGGATTCAGAACGTCCTGAATTCAGAAATGAGATGCTGAAGCTATTTACTGTAATAGACGGTACTGATTATGTATTCGATGGAAGCTTTTCTATAGTTATGACACCATAAATAAACCATCCGACAATCAGCGTCATCTATTTTAATATTCAAATTCGAAACAATGCAATTTGGAACAATCATCATCTGCAGCTCAGGTTGTATATCTATGATGTTAGAAATGAAGCAGAAATCACTTTTGGCAGTAAATACTATAAACAGTGATGCATGCCATCTTGATACGGCTAGAAAGTTATGCAGATTTTCACTCACGAGATTACTGCAATAATTTCTGAAAAATGAAAATGCCAGAAATGAACTTTGCCAGGTTACCCATGCAGTGCAGTTAGTGAATTGCAATTACATGTAACTAGCACATTATTAATTGGAAATCCACATCCAGTCTAGGTGTCATTTCAAGGATGGTCAGTCGCAGATTTGATTCCACAAGCTGCTACAATGTTTTCATTAAGCTCTTGATTCTCTCGTCCATATCGAGCATCGTTTAATGGTCTCAAACTTTAGGCTTGGAAGTTGCATTCTGCCCCGAAGCTATTTTATACAGCCCGCAAAGACATCTCAATTTTCAATTTGTTGCAAATACGGTCTTGAAAAATTTCAAGTTATTTTAAATCTGACTTTACATATTTTCTTCTGTATTAAGAACGAACGTGAATAACTCATCAGAAACTCTGCATAAATCTAATTAATTTACAATGTGATATAAATCTTATTCAAAGATCTGAAGATACAGATTTTATTACTTTTGTTCGCACTTTTCAAAACATAAATTAGTTCGGTTGCCAAATTTTGCCCTAAAAGTAGTTACTTTATTTGGGAATATATTTACACGTGAACAGCTTTTTCTCGCAGTGGAAGATTAATAAAAAAGGAACCTGATTAACTGATGAACATATACATCTTGGGACATGTTGAAGATAATTTCTAGTAAGTTCACTCGAAAGCTACAAACTTTATCAGAATCAAATACCGTCAAGTGTCAAGCTGTAGTAAAAAATAAAGATTTTTTATAACTATTTGCATACAAACATATGCATTTTTATGTATCCATTGGAACAAAAATTATTAAATAAGAGGGAAAAAAACTACTTTTTTATAAATTTGAATTTTTTACCTCTCAATATTATTATTATCATTGCTTACAAATGTTTCGGTAAAAATTTATTAAGCGAAATTTAAATTTTATTTGAAATATTTTTTTATCTTGTTAGTAAAATTTTTTCTGTTGTTAAAAAAGTTCTGACCCATCAACTGTGTTCATATCGTGCATTAGGTCTTTATGCAGTTTGAGACCATTTAGTAGTTTACATATATATATCTTGATGAAATAAAGAATGTGGACCTCGTACTCATGTCAATCATGGTGAAATAAAGGAATTAAGTCGACGACTTTGCCTAAAATTCTGCAATATTACAAATTATCTCTGATTAAATGCTTTTCCACTGCAGTATGCCATCAAGATTAAAATTTCGGAATGATTGTACTTCAGGTTGTTTATTTTGTTTCATACCACAAAGTATACAAGGGCTATTTGCCAAAGGAGAAGGATGTATCGGGTAAGACTTTAACAGGTTCTCATTTTCGCTTCATATGGGAAAACCTGTTGTAGGCAACCGTAAATGGACTTATGCACTTATACATCATTGTAAATCCAGAAATTCATAAGAATTCATCATTGTAATCCAGAAATTCAAAGAACTTTGCTTTAAACCAACATAATTCAAATTACCCAGTAATTGAAACTTTAAACATTTTATTATTTCATTTAACTAGGAATTCTCAACTACAAAGTCACATCTGATTCCAGAACAACTGAACAAAATTGAAGGTGTCTTGCGTGAAATTTATAGTAAGTTTGCCCTACTAATTTATTTCATCTCGTTTAATTCTGTAGCCTGCTTATATTTTTACAGCTATTAATTTTGATTATTTAAATAGTGTGTAAAAAAATTCAAACTTCATGTTTTTCTTAATCTAATTAGCAAATTGCCTTTTAATGGTTTTGTAATGGAAAATTAATTTGCTCTAAAATGTATTTCTAATGGAAAGTTAATTAATAAATTACTTTTTATGTAGAGTCATTTATAAGGTTGTGTGATACGAAGATATTCATTATGGCAAAGCTTATTGAAATTAAAGAAAATCTGTTTTACTACTTGAGAGTAATGCATTGAAATGATATTGGTCAAGAACGTAGAACAATAGAGCAGATAAGACTCTAACACCATGTTTGGTAGCGTTTACTGAATTCATGACTTGTGAATCTCTTTTGAACTGCATTCTGCTATCTTATTTGGGAATCGTCCGAAGGGTCTGCTGTGAAATTTCTGTACTGAATGCAGAAAATTTACATAATAGATAATGAAAGCCTCAACATTCTTTAATCAAGGTTGTTACGTATTATTTCATCAGCCCTAGTCTGATGTGCAGTGATGCATGAAAATTGTGTTTGCATTCGCCAAAGATAGCTTACTTAAATTTCTGATATCCATGTCTTTACTTGAAAGTCACATTTTGTCAGCCATATTTTGCTTTACGGTCTCAAATATACACCGATTTTGAAAATGAAACCCTATCGAATACAAGACCTTCCTACATCTTAGGATAAATTTTTAAGGAATGCAAAACATACATAATTATTTATTTAGCCTTGTAGTAATTCTCAGAAAGAGAATCTTAGTCTTCCTCATTTCTTCAGAATTTCCTTGAAATACGACTACCGTTATGTTTAACCCTTAAATATTGTTAGTGGAACATTGCTACTTATTTGTATTCAGCATACCAGAGACCAGTTTAGTCGATATAGGTCTAAATTGAAATCGTTCAACTAGAAGTAGCTATGATGATTAACACCAGTTATTCGTTTTATGCATACGGTAATTACGTATGTGATTTCATTAGTATTTAAACAGTGTAATTTATCTATATAATACAATAATTAAATTCATTCGTGTCATTTTAATATTTTATTTATCAAAATACCCGTTTTTATATGGCCATCAAATTTTAGAACAAAAATATATAATTTTTTTTTCTTTTTTCGAGTCAAAACTTATTTATGCATGAATATTTTATGCATTCAGTTTGCTGATCAAGAATTTTGATCTTATCATCTTTATGTCTACATAAATCCCCTACTAATATACCCTGCATTTCTATTTCGGGATTAAATTAATAAATTTATAATTATAAGAGTTATGTTAATTAAATTAATATTTCTTTCATATTTACTGTTGTGTGTATACGGATTTATAACGAACTGAACGCACACAGAACCGATGACAGCATGATAAAATTTATTTTTACAAAAAAAAAAAAAAAAAATTGCAGTTTTGAAACTTTCCCCAAAAAGTACTCGTACAACTCTTCTCAGTATCACAGAGTACAGTCGGTAGTTACACTTCATACTACTCGGAACATTAAACGCAGCACAATGGAAAGCGAATCTAAAGACCGAAGATCTAGGTACTCCGAAGTTTATTACTCTGAACTGAAAAACCTGAGTACTGATCCGGTCTTATACAGTCTCCCCGAGCGCAGAGAAATCTCTGGTTTCTTCCATTTCTCGAAATTACTGATGGTTAAAGTTACATATGAGGGCCGGATGAGGTTACAGTTACATGTAGGGATCAATTACAGTACCAATTAGTTATGCAGGGAACAGACTGAAATGTTGCCAAACGGTTGCCAAGTTTGAGGACTTTTGACAATTTCTCGAGAATTTAGCGAGATAGCCACTTGTTTCGATGTTGAATGGACTTGTCCCCCTGTAATCTTATTTTTCCGGCAGTGCTTCAACTCTTCAGATTTTCCAGTTACATTATACAAAAAATACTACAATTTTAAATTGACTTCAGTAAAATTCTTTACACATATATAAAAATTCGTGACAACATTGATAACTAATGAGCAAGAGAAAGCTTCATGTGTTACCGTTGTTTTTAAAAGCTTTTATATTGCATATTAAGGTATCCGACCTCGTTCGGGCACCATTTTTTAAGAAACGGTTTTTATTTTAACTATAAACGTATTAATTTGAAGATAAGCATACTAATAAGTGAAAACAGCTTAAAAAGTAATGCTAAGTAATTTTAATTTTGAAAAATAATGAAAAAAATGATAATTTTTGCTTAAATTTTGTCATTATGGCAACAACTACGGTGAACAATGTATACATAAATATAAAGTTTTTTTAATTTTTATTTATGTTTACACTTATTTTGTATGCAATGAAGCAAAATAATTAAGAAATATTCATATGTTCTTGAGATATGTCAAAATATATAGTATTAACTGCATATTTTCCTATTATTGCATCCAAAATCTAAGAATAAAAAGTAACAATTCAACTTCTAATTAATATTTCTAAAATCTTCTGCTTCAGAGCATGCATCAGATTATATGAAACATGCGTAGAAGGTATCATTTAGTTTTATTAATAAAATTGTGAGTTATGGCTGTTATCATTGGCAATATTTACTGAAAAACACATTTTTCAGAAAACAAGTTTAAAGTTTTCATAAAACAATTTCTTAGTGAAAAATGCATCTCTGATAATTAAAATCCCCTTCTTTTTAATTGACACCTTGTTTGTATTTTCACAAACATTGCGCTTTTTCTTTCGAATAAAGCGTAATATTTTTCTTTGGGTTTTTGTAAAACTTGCGGAATGGCGCCAAGAGTCATGATTTTGCACTTTGTCAAGTTTTAGAATTCCCTGCTCAGTGTAAAATTCAGAACATACAGCTAACCTTGAAAATGCTTCAAGCAAACCTATAAATCCATCATTAAATAACATTAAATAACAACACTTGTTATTTAATGTTATTTAATGATTGCTCCAAACATTAATGTTCGCGAGGAACAATTTGAAATAAAATGCCATTAAAACGTCCTTTGATATTTTGAGTTTTGCCATGTATGCACTTTTTTAATAACTCTTGTTTATGTAGTCAACTCCACATATGTAGGTTTAATTAAATTCAAAATATATGTTGATATACCAGAAGTTTTTGGCTGATTTTTTTTCTTTTCCGCAATCGCACATTGATAGTTGTACCAACTCGTTGATTGAGGAGGGCATTAGCTTCGAAGAAGAGCTACAATGGAACAAGCAGCTAGTACAGCCTGCTGCATCTCAATTAAGTTTACAACATTACTTCTAATTGCAATCCCTAATTCTGTAGTTTATCAATAAAAAAACCAATCAGTTTACCTTTCCTTTTCGATCCAGGAGTGGAGTTTTTTATTTTTCGTAGTACACTACTAACCCTTTTCTGTACATGTCCAATGCATTCCAGTTTCTTGACCGAATCTTTACCATATATATTTTTCACAATTAAAAACCCCTTAGAATCTCCATCCTCATAATACTCCGTGTACTTCAGCTTTCGTAATTTAATAGATCATTCAAAAAGTGAATAAACACCAACTGCTTCCATACCCGAAGTTGCTTCTTTATAATTTGCAGAATAATTATGTTACGCTATATGTATTATGAACTATATTTCGTGCTGGAGATTGCATTCCATTTTGTTTAGTTTGTTGCAAATGATGCAAAAATGTGACATAGCCTTTAAATCAAGACTGTCAACGCTAATCGACAAAGCAGTAACACATCCATTCAACATCGAATACCCTCTGCGCCAAACTAAATACGAAATTAAGGGAAAAAAACTACCGCCAGATTCTTAAAATGTATTACAAAATATCTAAACTTAGTACGATGGTTTATAATTTACAAAATCTTGATAATAAATAAAGTTTCTAAATAAGTATTTCTGTATAAACGCTCACTTCCGGTCCAGAATATTGGAACTTCCGGTTTATTCCGTTACAGAAAAATGCTTATAACTTCAGTTCTAATTAACATATCAACAAGCAAAAACTTGTATTTGATAGCTAAAGATGTATTCTTTAAGATAGTGTAATAATGTAAAAATCGTCTTTTGTACGAGGTCGGATACCTTAACATCTAATGTGACTATGCCATATTTTCAAAAATATACCTGATGCAAACAAAACAAAGGCTCTTTAAAAAAAATTAGAATCACAAAATGAGCCAAAGCATTAAAACTTTTGGTTTCTTCTGATTATCCGCATCTCCAACGAAATGTCACAAAAAATATTCACGAAGCAATGCAGCAAGTCATAAAATCGTTACGTAGCAACTCAGATAGGCGATTAGTAACACACCTAGGTGACTTTTAAAATTGTACTATCATTTTTCTGATTGTGTTTCTTCTTGCAGTGAATATTTGCAATATTTGCTTTTCCTGTAATGAATCGCAATGGGACTATGGGAGCTTGCCGTCTGACGAAACCATAGTGTTGCATTTCTGTAGCAATATAGCATTTTCCCCAACAAAAGAGAATGCAAAAATTCGCATTCAATCAAGTTAACGAAAAAATTTATGTTACTGTGTTTATGTTAAAATTTATGTTAAATCTTGTTAAACGTAAAAGTTTTTGAAAATGTAATGGAAAACATTTTAAGCAATGTGTTAGAGCATAGGTCAAAAACTCATTTTTAGATAGCCGAAGCTCGTATACTACAGCTATTCGCTTTATTTATTGTTCGCCGTTGCGTAATAACGAAATTGCGCAGTACTCTGATTTTGTTTTAGCAAAAGCAGATCACTGCGTACATAGGGACAGCAGCGTAAAAAATTTCAAAAAGATTCCTCGAAAAGATTTTAAAAAATTCCTCGAAAAATCGATTCTTACCGATAGTTGTTGCATTTTCAACTTTGTTTCATTGCTCTTCCATGGAATTCTTACGGTTCTTATCTTCGGCACATCAGTTTGGTGAACATTTAGTTGCCAGTGAGCTCGCGACTTTTTGGTGATGAAGGAGAGTTGCGGATAATAATAAAGTACAGAACTGGTATTGTTATAAATGATGCTCTTGTTGATCAATGTTACTCTGCTTTCAGTTAAGTGCCACTATGAAGGTACAAAGAGGTTTCTTGAAAAATTCACTCCAGCACTGGAGATCGATTATAATCTTCAGTATACAGCACTAATATGCTAGCGACTATATTGCAATACATCAATATACAATTATAAAACGTCCTGAATAATGACGTGTGCATGTGAGGAATATCTTACATTCTTGCAACATAAAGATGGTTAAATTAACTGTTTAATGCCTTAATTAACATTTTTATTACCTAATTTTTCTGGAAATGAAAATTAATTTAAAAAGATTAGTTTGTGAAATGTTTATTACTCAAATGTAGTTCTACTTTGGCTAGTATATATATATAATCTTCTTTTGTCAAGCATTTCTAAATTCAACCGTTAAATGAGAGCTGAATTGTATTTATTTTTACGATTTGATGTACACGCTATAATAGTATACCATTTTAAGGATCTTTCTAAAAAGACAGGAAGTACTGTGTGTGGCATTAAATGAAAAGATAATTTAATTCATCAATTTAAATTTTAACTTGCGCCTTTTTTTTTCACTCGTATTGAAAGGCGTTTTAAGAGAAAAATAAATTTTAGATGTGTCTACCTGTCCCTGCATTTCTATCAGCCCAAAGAGGCTATTAGATGCCCCTGGGCTACTACTAGCCCTTGGGATATTAGTCTTGAAACGGCATTTTGCGTCGAATCACTATGAACGGCTGTATCACTTTTCAAATTGTTGCCACCAAATATTATGGCCCTCTAACATATTTAAAGAAATTAAATAATGAAGAATCAGCATAAATGTATATATGTTTCTCGCATTGTAAAAACACAACAATACATAGAACCATCTAATTTTGAATAACATAGTCTTCCACCCGAATATGGGCACCTGGAAGCCCGAATCTTGAATTTCGAGGTAGTTTTGTTATCTGTTTCATGTTTTTTTTTTACTTCAACGAATCTTTGATTAAGAAACTCAACGATCTCAAAGCGAGCTTCGGCAACACGCTGTACAGAATAATATATTTTTATTTCTAGGGCGCGAGACTGTCTACCGGAAATTCTAATGATATGCAGTTTTGAAATATTTTTAGCCCAAAGCTCTCGATGTGTGCATATATGTGTAAACGAAAAACGCCGTTTGGGCGCAATATAAAATCTGAAAGCTTTCAAATTTTATTATCAGATTTTATTATTATTATTATTATTTACTTATTTTAAGTATGAGAAAATTCACTAAGCAGTATTAAAATTTGAGCTAAAAATGTTTTGGATAAAATTCATATTTTTGTGTGATTTATATTCGCTTTCTAAAAAGTTATTGCCACCTGTGTTTAATGTAATGTTTGTAAAAAAAATAAAGTCAAATCAGTAAAAACGTCTAAACAATACAAACAATGTAAATTTTTAAAGAAATATTCATTTGAATTTTTTAAATCCATTTTTAAAGTCACGAGGCTTGATTTCTGTTGAAAGAGAGATAGATAATAGCATGGGTTTTTTTGCTTCTTCTGTCATGTGTCACGTAAATACAGTTGAGTTTCTCTTAACCTCTAAATTCAGTAATACCTTACTTCAAGCAGAATAAAACGAGCTTTTTATTCTGCTTGAAGTAAAGTATTATTGAATTTAGAGGTATTACTGAATTACTGAATCTGGGCGGCATAACTTACTCATTAATAATAAAACGAGTTTTATTATTAATGAGTAAGTTTTATTATTAATGATGTTTATTAATAAATTAATGTTTTATTAATTTATTAATAATTAATGTTTTATTAATAAAACGAGTTTTATTATTAATGAGTAAGTTATGCCGCCCAGAGGCTATAGTGGTTAGAGGAGCCGATTGCGATACCGAAGGGCCTGGGCTCGAATCCCGGAAAAGGCATCGATATAAATTGTCTGTCCTTTCCTAGGAGGTAAAAGTGGCCGCCTATTAGGTGACTTCACAATAAAATGGCCACCATTTCTGGCCTTAGAAGTGGCCAATGCCGTTATAGGCAAGTGCCCGCCATTGAAAAAAAACAATAAGTTATAATTGTCTTGCTCTGATGTTAATTATTTCTTTATTTTAGGGGAATACGCTCTCTCAGCTGAGGAAATTCGAAAAAGAAAGACTTTTGTTGAAGATTTAGAAAAATATATCCAGGAGAGAGTACCTGGTAAGAATTATCTCATGAAATTGTTACTTTTAAAGTAACCTTTATACGTGATTCTTTGGACCTGTTTCTCAGAAATATTTTTTAAAAATTGATAAGGATCTAGCGAAGTCGTCATGTTACCTATAAAATGCCCAAGAGTAAATGCAAACCTGTGCTCTTCGTCGCAATAATTAATTTAATTAGTCACGCATTTTGGTTTTTTACAAGATATAAATGATGTCATAAATAAAAAAATAAGGTCTTCTCGTATAAAACAAGCAACTTTCCATGATGCCAGGATTCCGATATTAGCAACAATAGCCTAAATATCAAACCTACAAACACCTGGAATAGAACAGATATTATTAAATTGTTTAGCAACTTACCGAGCACAGCCAAACTCTCTCAATACCTCCCTTAGAACTATAGAGGCCTCACTAGTGAGCGAGTAGTTAAGACCGCTGAATACTGGTAATTTGGCCCAGGTAAAAATCTATACCAACTTGTTAGCTGCATGCTCATTTTGCTTAGTTACCTACGATACAGGCATGTTTTTTGTGGTTAAAGGGTCCATTATAAATCGTGCAGACATTCAAATAACCTAACTTAATCACAATTACAGAAAAACATGCATGGAATACGAGCCATATTCAAGTAACCTAATACAATCACGTTAATCAGACAAAACAGGCATTTATATAGAATGATCTGGAGAATCTATTCGATGTCTACTCTCTGGAATTTGTTGTACATGTAAATTTTAGAAAATGTACATTGTAAAGCTAATGAAATGCAAATTTTTATTTTAATGGTTGAATTTTTTTCTTATTAGGAGCCGAGCTGGTAATGATTGGTTCAGGAGTAAACGGATTTGGTTTAAAAGACAGTGATGTAGATATCTCCATGTGTGTTGCTGATGAAACAGAGGTAAAATAAATCATAAAACCTATTTCGTTTATGACTACTGTACTTTGTAGAACATATACCAGTACTTAAAATTTAGCTATATACTACACGAATTTATGTCGCAAAATAGTTAACTGTCGTTTATTCGTTCTATAAAAGAATAATGTGTTGAAATGTATTTCCTGATTTGTTTACATGGGTTGCATGAAGTGCTGTTGCTAATTCGTTAATCGATGTGAATTATTTTTAAGAAAGGAATAAGCTAAAAGCTCTTTAGCTAAATTTTAGTTCTCTGAGTTATGAAAGTTAATATTATAAATTGTATTGTATTAAGCAAAATATATTTTATTTCACTACACGTGTTTTCATTACATATGAAATGCATTATTACATTTCAACTTTGTTTTTTAGGATGAACAAGCGCTACTGAAAGAAACAAAATACCATCTCATGCGAAACAAGAAATACGATAATATCCTGTTATTGGGCAAAGCTGTTACACCTATCATTAAATTCCTTTATAAACCATTAAATTACCAAGTTGACATCTGTATTAACAACTTTCCGGTGAGTATTATTTTGCAATAATTAAGCACCGTTCTGTTTCATATGATCTTTTCAGTTATTATGAAAGTATACAATAGCTTTGAAAACCCTTTCCCATTTTCTTTCAACTGTATTATCTTTTCCTGAATAACGAAACCTGTATATTTTGTACTCCAAGAGGATGGTTTTGAACGGATATTGAATTTATGCGTATGTTAACTAATTATTGGCACCTTTTTTATAGAGTTAACACTCTTTAAAACTAGCTGGTAATAAGTCTTATAATGGGCTAGAAATGCTATATGATTTCTGACTAATATCAATGTAGAAATAATTCACATGAACACAGTAGGAGTATCTTATCCGGGGGTAATGCATTCCAACACTTAACCGCGAATATGACATAAAACTGGTATTCTTATAACGTACACATACTTCCAGTTAAAGTTTATTGATAAATTATTGCCAGTAAGCCATCATCAGCAGTAAATAAATTAATAATAAAATATTCCAAACAACACAGTGGATTATGTTCTGTAATGCTAAATATATTAAATGAAATACATTGTGTATCAAAATATAACCTCTCTCGTACCTACAGCGGTTAAGATATTATGACATTTTAAATGACCACAGATTTTGGAATTCTTATTGCCGGCTATATTATAGCCGGCTAATGAAAATAAAAAACACAAAAAGCAAGAATGAATGCAAATTTAAAAAGAAGTGCCGGTATAGAAACAAATTTAAATACCCAATATACAAATCTCTTGTATTCTGAGAATACACATAAGATTCTATAATAACCACTTTCATTCCTTGTATTTACGTATATTTGTCTGGAAGGAGCATGCAGATACATCCAAAAGCAATACTGGATATGTTTGAGCTGCTGTATTTTATCTGCAATACGAAATTTATTACTTTTGTTGCCTTTTAAAATTTATGAAACGTGATAGAAAAAAATTTTTCCCAGCAAAACTAAACTAAGAATAAGTGAAATTGCAGATAGGATGCGCGATTAGATTTACAATTTTTCTTTCCTTTACAGTTGAATAAATCTCAAATAACAATACATTTTTCTCTGAACTTTATCTCAGGTGCATGTGCTAGTAGTTTTCTTAGTAAATACTTAATTTGAGATTTAATTAATTAATAAATTACTTAAAAGAATAGCGGAGAAGTACTGAGTTACATTAAATTGTAGCGATACGAAAATTTTTCGGAAAAGGAAATTATCACTTTTCTTAGAATATGTATACAATATCAGAAACGATCACTGAAGTTACCTGAAAAAAATATTGCGGAAATAGGGAACACTTAAAATTAAACGGGAAGTTAGTGATGTCATGCCGTCTTTAGGTGAGGATACATAATCAGAAAAAGGATAAATCTAACATTTTGGCGCGTGAAATTCTTCCTTAATAAATTTTTAACTGCTAATTATAAAAAAATTGTCTAATAAATATTTTTTATTATTCCTCGTTTAAAAAGCGATGAAGGAACGCTTTTATAATCTATCAAAACCCCCCGAGATTCGGAAGAAACGTTATTTGGAACGTTTTTCCGATGTATAGGATGCTGTAAAGATTATAATTCTGCGATGTTTGACACTGTCTTGAGCAAAATATATACGAAAATCGCTTCAAAGTTAAATCAAGTAAATCTAAATTAAATTTTGGAAAAATCCCTTCGAGATGCAAATGAAATACGTGTAATATCTGTGTGCAGTTTACCATAGTTATCCTTTCTATCTCTATTCTATGCAATGCACACACAGATAAATCTCTGTTTTTCTATTATAGAAGTTATTAAAATCAATGAACTAAAACCCATTTATCAGAATAAAATTACTATGATAGAACCGCATAGACTATTACAGGATATTATAATGTGTAGTACCTCAAACACATTTATTAAAAACCTAACCTTGATATTAAACATGAAAAAGGGTTAAAGATTAAAAATTTATATTTATTATTTTAAAAAGATACTGTAAGCAAATGATAGCGATTTTTTTTGCAGGAAAAACATTCTCTCATGTATAACGTCACCTTTCTCGAAAATGTTCCCTCTCTGACGCTGGCTCTGAATCCCAAGAGATAATGTGCGACAGTCTTCACGTATGCAATATAAATGTTGCCTCGTTCCCTTAGAAATTCTTCCTGAAGAATGTATAATTCAAGACACGCAGCTCAGTCTAAATATATACGAATAGTTTATCTACAAAATATTAAAGTCACCTTTTTGAATGGCATAATTAAAAAATCTTGTTTGTGTGGGATATAATTCAAATATGTACATAACTTAAACTGAAAACAAATTACCTTCTTTTTTTAACTCTTAATTTAGAAATTTTTTTAATCGGTAATTTAGATGACTATGTTCATTTGCATGCCTTCGTGGTGTAGTTGTTCTGCACGCTGAGCCGGTATTTCAGAGGTCCATGGTTCGATTCCCGGCGAAGGCGTTGTTAATTTTTCATCTTTCCTGCTTTCAAAATACCTAATGTCTCTACAACATATTTCATAAATTTTTGTTATGTGAAAAGTAGCAAAATAAATTCACAAACTACTATTCTTTATTTTTCAAATTTAAAATTATTTACTTTTAAATTTGCATTTAGTATTAAATTTGGTAACATGATAAAAAATATCGTATCGTAATTTAATTATTAAGTAAATGTGGTGTCAGAATTTATTAGATGAATGTAAACTTCTTTAAAATTTCAGACTGTACATAATTCTCATCTTCTGAGGACCTACTGCAAATACGACGAAAGGTGCAAGTTATTGGGTTGCGCCCTAAAGGTTCTCGCTAAGGTAATTAAATATACTTTTTTTTTTACCTTAAATTTTCATTATTAAATAAACTATAGAAAAATTTGCCTTATCAAAATAAACGTTTTCATAATGAAACCTAATTTATGTTCCAGAAAAACGATATTTGCTCAGCAGCCAAGCAGACTTTATCATCGTATAGTTATATTTTAATGGTTATAAATTACCTTCAACAAGTCAAGCCTCCTGTTTTGCCAAGATTTGAAATTCAGGATGAAAATGTAAGTATAAAAAATTTCTTCATTCCTAAATTTGCAACATATATTAAATATTGAACACACTGTATTATTAGTAGGAGTTTAATGATTAAGCTTTATTCAGAAGGCTTTTAATTTTCTACAACTTAGTCTCACCACTAAATCCTGCATTCTATAATAATTTATATATATATATATATATATATATAGTAGAATATTTGGTTTAATCTACCATTTTTATTAAGTATATGAGTAATAATGTGGAAATTTAATCAAATTTAGAAAGTTTGAATTAATATATAATATTAAGTACATTCTAACAACTTAAAAGTATGCTTTTTATATGGTCAATTTTACTGCTGCTACTACTCGAGATTATGATATGACACCATTCAAATTCATCTTTATAACTAGTAGTAGTTAGTATATCTGAGGAGACAATTAAGAATGTAATTACTATAAATTTTGTTTATCTTTGCCTGGGAAAGTACAAAAGGTATATTGCTGTTCTTTAATAGGTTATGGCAAAGTATGTAAAGACTATTTGACTAAATGTGGATGCTTTCTCGGGGAACATTTGAAAGGAATTTAGCCCATATTCATGTTATATATGAGGGAAAATGTCCATGCAGCTAACCATGTTTACTGAAATTTGAAAATATGGTAACTTAGAGGACTCCAGGGCGCAAAGTCATGGACAGACCTAAAGAGTCAGAAGCAAAGAGCATTTCCTTTAAAACAACACAAAATTCTGTGCATCAATGCAGGGTCTAAAATCAGGTTTCCTTTAAAATTTTACTCCTAAAATCATTTTACTATTAATAGATTCGAAGATATGTTTATTTGATACAACATTAGTTAGTTTGTAGAACTGTCAACTCTTCCAGCAAATCTATTGTTTTTAATACATGAAAGCCGGAAGATCTGGAGATTAAACCATTTCTTTCAAACTCAGCTCTGAAAGAAGAATTAGATCATCTAAGACTTGTTAATCATTGTTGTTTTGAAGCAGGGAAGGAAAAGTGCTATGAAGAAAATTTTGGTGTTAAATTCTCAAAAATAGCTGCAGCAATGTCATTCTCATCTTTTAAAGAAACTTAAATTTGTATATATGCAATTCTTTCCCAAATAATTTTCTGCGTTATTTCTTACATAAATTTTATTCGACATGAACTATTTTAAACAACTGTAAAATTAATAAAGCATTTTATGAAGGTTTTACTAATCAACATGATCCTTCGGACATTAATTGCTAATATTATTTAAAAAGCACATGTGTTTAAAATGAAATCTTTCTTTCCTACTTGACGTTTTATTAGTATATATTTTTTTTATTTACAAATACGAAAGCATCCAAAAAGCATAAAATAAAATTTCAGTTTCGAATAATGAAAGTAATATTAATACATTTTACCTCACTATCCTACAGTAATTAGATTCGTGATACACTTTAAAGCAACCTTAAATCAGATATGTCAATTTCAATCCGCTTTTAAAATCGAAGCTCTTTACAACACTAAATCCTGTTGTTTTTCAAAACTACCGATTATGAATTTTGAATAATTATGCGTAACTTTATATACTCAATATATTTTTATCCTTTTCTAACCACTTTTTTTGTTGTAGGTTTTTCAAGATAATTTAAAAGTACCGTTCAGAACGTTGGTAAAAAATAAGTGGATGTATGAAGACAGACAAACTCTGGTAAGTTTAAACGAAGTCATCAAACAAATTTCATTTTTTTGTCTTGAGCAGTTTGTTAAAAATAAAACTAAATTTAGAAAGTTTTAAAAAGGGAAATGATGCAAGCATTACCGTTAGACATATCCTGTCATAAAAGTAATACCATTGTAACAACCTTCATGTTGACCGTTTGGTTAGCAAAGTTCCTTCATATCAACAGTGGCAAATAATACAATACGATACTCATCGGCTATTCGCGACCAGTCTAGCTCATTATTTGCAGAATTGGCCTCTAACCTAATACTTACATAAAATATTGACGAGGTCTAATGTTCATAGTATTGCACTTCTTAATACGAGGTAATAAGATTATTTGATTGTCGTTTATGCAGTAGCCTACGCATTTTATAAAAGAAGTGAAATATGTTTTCCTGCTGCTGAAATCTGTCTGATATATAATTAGCAGTTATAAATATTTGACTGCCATGCAGTAATATTTCTATTTCTATCTAAGAAACACTAATAAATTCTGTCTTATATTTCAAACGTGTTCAAATTATTTGTGCGTAATGTATGTTCTTCCTTCTTACATAACCATGTTATCTTTCGAAAATAAAATTGTGGTCAAACTTTATGAAACTAAAATCATTTTCTGGATTTATAATCTACTTTTTAATGCATAATGACCTTATAATATACTTCTTAATATAAACCCAACACGTCCATTTCCTACTCATAGACACAAAATATACTGTATATTAAATATTTTTATAGTAAAAAAATAATTTTTTCCGTCTTTCATTTCCATGTTTTGATAAAAAATTTCCACCTTTTTTAGTATTAAATTAATAAACAATAAGAAGAAGGAAATCATTTTAATGGAATATAATTTATTTTGCAATTCTGAAATTGAATCTAATATTTAATGCATCATGGTTTTTATAAGATTTTTATACAATAAATTTATATTTGCATACCTTTTTTTCAGAGAAAATTACACAGTTTGAAGGACAACAGCACATCCCTCCCAGAACTATGGTTGGGCCTATTAAAATATTATTCCAGCAAAAAGGAGAACGTTATCTCAATAAGAAAGGAACGGATGGAAGTGACAGATCTGCCCAAAAACGCTGCGCTTTATAACATCGATGGTAATTTACCTCTATATTAGCTTTATTAGAGCGTCATTATTCAAATTCTAGTGTTCTGATCATTTGAATGATATAAATGCTTCAGTCTCAAAGTCCAACTGTTAATCAGAACAATTTAGAAAGAGCCTAAACTAATGTTAAAAAGTGTAAATAAAGTATGAAATAAAATAATAAGATCCGAACTAATATAAGTATGCACTAAAAGTAAAGATTATCACTTTGATGCATACGATGCAGCTTTCATATAGCGCAGTTTCAAAGTAGTTTAGATTAAGAGAATATAAATTATGAGGAAAATTAAATCAATGATTGTTTAATGAGAATGCAAATGAGTCTAGGTACTATTTTTAAATAGTAATGAGATTTAGTAATCTGTTCGAAAGAAACAAAAAAAGAGAGAAGAAAGTAAGAATTATTAAATTAAGGATCCGGGCCTAAGAAATACCCGTAGTCTGAGTACAGAAGCAGCTGAAAAATTGGTAAATGTTATATTTCTAATGTAAAAACAAATAAAATAATAAGACTTCCCCATATAAAAAAATTCTTTTCGAAAGCAAAATTACACGCTTTTTAATTAATTAAAAGAATAGATAATTATTAAAGCCCTAATAAGCAATCTGCTTTTTAATTGATGCAGAGTTTAAATTTATTAGAATGTAGCAAACCATTCCAATAAATCTAATCTTAAAGGTCTTATTTAATTCCAATAAATCTAATTAATTCTTTATCTTAATTTCAATAAATCTAAACTAATCTTAGTGTTACCTGCCTAGGAATATAAATACCTTGATGGTATTCTTCCTTATACCTTTATCGTATAATTTTCTTCTCTACAGAAAATTGGCTCGTATTTATGTTACGCATGGCTTTATAAAATAGTGGCAGACAGTAATTTTTATTAGTATCAGAAAAACCCCTTTTATATCGCACAGTGCAAGTCTGTATTTATTTAAATAAATTGTTCGTCATTCTGAAGTAGAGGAGGAATATAATAATTTGAATAACTGGTTCTCTATTCTATTTATACGACTGATGACATTTTAATATATTTTTCTCCTATTGTTCATATTATGATTACTTCAGAAATTCTAAATTTTATTAATATTATGCTATTAATATATTTATTGATTATTTTTCCCATTCATATATTGATTACATACTCCATGCCCATCAGAAGGCAATGTGAACTTTTATTTACCTGTGCCCTAGATACAGCGTTACTAGACATAGATATGAAAAAAGCGCGAAAACTTTTTTAAATTCATTTGGAAAAGAAGATATTTTATATCATATGAAATTCAAGGCATAATTTTTTTTTATCCTGGAACAAAAAGTTAACTTTTCCATTAAACTATTATAAATTATTTTATTAAATAGAATATTTTAAGTTATTAAGTTCATCAATACTGCAATTAATTTTTATGGAAGAAAATAGTACCAGCATTAAAATAATTTTAAAAAACATTAACATCGAGTTACTAAAACCTTAATTGGTTCCATGGAGACGGCCTGATTAGCCCATGTAATCTATATTAAGTCTACTCAAGTCTTGGTTTATTACACTTGTATTAGATTTGAAGTACTTGTGCCTGATAAAGTCACCTTACAGTTATGCGTAAGTTGTAACAGGTGCTAATTGATCCTGTATTATGAGTTTTCGTGAATGAAGTGAAGTATAAAGTTCATTCAGACAGAAATAATGAATAAAACCTTATTAACTCTAATGTATCTCTACTTAATTTAATTTAGAATACATTACAAGAAGTCAGTCTATTTGACTGGACATTAGTTGTAGAATAAAATGTTGAGCTCTAAAAATTCAGCATTCAAATGAATCTAGTAGATAACACAATTTTTGCTAATGCATAGTAACGCGTTAAACTTTCACTTGCAGCTTACCCCATTTGGACAGCTAATTTCCATGGACTCTTTCTTCTATGGCGGCCAGGTTTACCTACAGGCATTCGCCTTCAGCTGATTTAACTCCAAGCGCTGCTCCGTTGTTTCTTGTTCGTTCCCTCGCTCACTTTTAGGGTTCCAATTAAGATTTTTATCCACCTACACTAACCACATGAAATTCTGCGTAACTTTCTGGAAAGAACGTTGCATTAGTTGCATGACTGAAAGGACAGTAAAAATGCAAATTAAAATAAATTGTTAGTTAAACAAACTAAATTGTTACAGGCTCATTGAACATTTATCAGTAAAAAATGACCTTCGAGTTTATATTACTGTAGAGGTACAAAATTTTAATTCAGGTACACCGAAAACTCGGCCAGCTGTTATCAGTTGCTTACATTCATTTGAACAAACGTTTATTGTTTATAAAATCTGTATAATAGTGCTATGCAACTCTATAACCCAGAAGCTTAAATACCAACAGTATACGTTCGTATTTTTGAATATAACGCTTCTTACTGTTAAGTAAAATATTGTGTATAATTGATTAATAGCTAGAAGATGTATTTAATTTCTTAGTGTATAAACTTGAAAATGTTTTCTTGTGAAAATAAGAATATATTTCATTAACATATTTCACATTATTTTCAGATCCATTCATAAAGAAAAATTTAGGATGTTCTCTTAGCGGGCATAGTAAGTTATACTCTTTTATGTTAATACTGTTATACTCTTTTATTGTAATACTGTTATACTCTTTTATGTTAATAATATTGTTGCGTTCTACGGGTTCGTGGATTTGAAGTGATTTGAAGAAGAACCAAAACACAATTTATTCGTCAGTATTACACAGGAGAGGTCCAAAGACACATTTACAGCCTTCGAAAAACTACGGCAAACACGCTGAAACAAATCAGCAACACACAACCTTCAGGCTATCAGGCTACAATGGTGAAGACAGCTTCACGGTAAAGAATTAAAATACAGCTTCCAAATCGGTCGATCGCTCTCGAGCTAATCTCTGAACGCAAAGCACTACTACTGAGTCCAACATACTCAAAATATTCTTCACGATAAACTGCTATTCCGCGTACAGGCAGGTTATTTATAGCTTTTGATCTGCCTTCAAGAACATTCTCGGGAAAACTGGTAACTATTCGTTCTAGAACGTTCTCGCTCCCTCTATGGCATATCGCCAGTTTTGTTGCCAAACGTTGCCAAATGGGCGATTTCGCTCCAAATTTGGCTACCCTACCTTTCCTTTCCATTTTCTCACAAACCTAATCCCGCTTTGCAGAGAAGCTATCTTTCCGCAGCTGGGCATTTCGTAACAATAGAAGCAAGTAACTTATTAATTATAAAATGTATGTAAACAAGTAACTATATATATTATATATGTGGTTACTTGTATGTATATATATATATAGTTACTATACTATTATAAATAAAACAATTAACTCTTTATATATATATTTTCTAGCTTCCACGTGATAATCTAGGTGACTCATCGGCCCGGCTGCGAAGGATGAGGCACTTATGATCGAAGTCCGATTCGTCAAAAGGAAAATTTCAAACAAGCATTAGCCCGGAATTATTAATTGTTTCTTATTCGGTCTGTAATATTTTTGGGGAATCAGAGTTTTCCTCAGCGTTGCACAGCTTTAGATTTCAGACTTTGGCTGAGAAATGAAATAGTAAGAAAGGAAAGGAAACAGTGGAGTAGCGAGCATAACTGGCGCTCGGGGCAAAATACTTTTTTGGCGCCCTCCTCGAGAAAAACATAGTGATATGAAGAATATCTTGATTGGAGACCATTTGGCTCTCCACTGCGAGCGGCGCCCGGAGCATCATACACCCCCTCGCTGCGCCACTGAAAGGAGAAGCAGGCTTTCCGGAGCCATTCAGCTTGGGACTGTCTCCGCGACTTCCATTTTTACCGGATATGTTCGGAACTATCGGATGATTTAGGCACCATACCTTCGGATTTCGATTCTCAGCATGAGGTCGAGCAGCAGCGATTTTCAACTAAACTTCTAGTATCAGAGTGCTAAATGATTTCTCTCTATTGATCCAACGTGCAGTGTAATTGATAAACAATTGAAGATCTGACTCCTGGAGGCATCCCCTGTCTAACATCTTCCCATCTTTATGTTTCTGGTATATTCCTTTCTCTTATCCATTTGTCTTCAGCTTCTTTGTGATCATTTCAACACCAGCATCTCCAACTATTAATTCTTCAATAACGGTCTGAGTTTAGATAGCGCTCTATTTCCTCCATTATTCTTCTCGGTTTCGTGGAAAACCGGAAACATCATTTTCCTAAACTTGCTTCAGTGTGGATTCTGATTTGGGTGATTTCATTGTAATCCCGAACGCGAACGTTGACTTCCCGGAAGCCCATCGAGAGTAACTATTTCCAGAAGTCCTACTACGATTTCCTTTAGCTATTATTTTCTCACACTATTGTTTTAATTGTTAGAGAAAAACGATAATGTAAAATTGATTGTCCTCAGTGACTTAAACACCCAAAACAAAGTGTACTAAAAATAATAACTGTAACTTGCCTTTACGTGGATGTAGGTAGACTTGTTAGCTATCAAAGTTATCAATGGAAACCCGGAGATAATTTAATAAACGTGTTCAAAATGTGAATTAGTGTTTCTTTATTTGCTTGGTGGTCTACCATTGTCTCTCTGTGTTTTATCTTGAAAGTTATAGAAATATGTAACATGTTCATTATTTATGCTTTGATTCCAAGGCACCGGGGAAGATTTATTTCATTTTACTTTCTATGTTATATAATTAATGCATTTGAACTTGAATGAGTTAATTTACCATTTAAAGATATTTATTCAATTAATTTTAGTTCAAATCAATCACCCAGTTTGATAAATAAAGTCTCCCACCGCGACATCAGCAGGGTCAGTTAATTAACAGAAAATTTTAAGTCCTAAATTAGAAATAAATAAATAAAAAATTTTCTCCACATAAAAGAACATACCTATTGGCTTAAATAAAAGCAGCCACCGCATATAAGCCAGACGTTTAAAATTTGAAGGAGTGGAAAAAGAAAACAGATGATCCCCGACTATAAGCCAAGGGAAGAAAGGAAAATATTGACAGATTTACGGAAATATAATTATCAGTAGAGTAGATACATACCAGTATTTTATTTGATCATGAATATTGTGCATAATACATTATTTTTATTGAAAAACCTAGGTTACAAAATTCTAAGTTGCAGACATGTGCTACACTTTGACAGTTTCAGTTAACTTTCGACAATGATTTTGTAACGATAACATTACTGGTACTACTATGCATTAACATTAACGATACGACATTTTAACAATGCTACTAGATTCTAAAATGTAGTATTCTATTGTCGTTATTTCGAAATCAAAGTTCAGAGCATTTTTATCTGTATAGGATATGACAAAATGCAATCATTCTTGTAAGATCGTGAACATTACCCGAATCCTTATTTATCACAATTTAAATATGGGTCATATGTGCAGCTTATACTCGGACTAGGACTCTTATGACTCTAATTTGTAACATAGGATAATGAATCAAAAATGGCTTTGAGAGGCCTCGAAGGACGTCATGTAGTCCAGGCAATCGGATATGTTCGAAGTCCTTTGTCAAGAAATAATAATGGCACTTGCAGCAATCGCCGTGCACATACTGACCAATGTTACTTAAACAACCACTCACCATTGTGCTATATGTCTGGCCGCTATGGGCCACCACTGATACTTGGAGCCCTCTAAGTAACGGCAGAGATATGTATGCAGGAAGATTCTTTTAAACCAAAATAACCTGCGATATGTATGAGTATATTCACATACATAATTAAGTTCGGTACCAACACACAATAAAGGATTTTCTTTCGTTAAAGTTTGCATACACTTTTCGGACGGACCTTGAAATGAAGCCTTAGTACTGAAAATCTTAAAAAAGCACTTCTATATACAAACGTGATATACCTAGTCGTAGAAAAGCGATTTATTAAGTAGACTTTAATATATCTGTATATTCTATTAAATCGGAGCCGCCCAACCGGAATAGTGGTTAGTGACTCTGCTTTACCAAAAGACCCGGATTGGGATCCCGGAAAAGGCATGGATGTTTCTAAATGGACAGAGTTTGTGCGGCATGGGGAACTTTAAATATGCGGGGAACCGAAAGTACTCTTGAGAGGTTATGGTAGGAGAGGGGGGATGGTAGACCCTCGAACCCGCCCCCTCCGTAGTTCTCTCCATCAAAATTGAGCAAAGTCGTCATGTAACCTGTATGGTGCTCAAGACTCTTGCCAACGATAGGCGCAATCTAGCACTCCTTGCTATTTCGTGAGCCTGTTCTGATGTTACTGTCAAGTGAGACAAGTGACAATGTGGAGACATTAGGTATTTTTTTTTTTTTTTTTTTTTTTTTTTTTTTGGAAGCAGGAGACTTGAAAAATGAGCAACTCCTTCGCCGGAAATCGAACCACGGACCTCTGGAATATGCGCCTTGACCACTACACCACGAAAACACGTTAAGAATGCGGAAGATATACCTTATAACAAGTGAGATAAATCACAACAACGCACAACACAACATTAAATAGGAGAATAAAATAATCATGTAACAAAGATTTCCACAAATTTTCATAATTTTTGTTATAATGTTTAAATTTCAGATATATGCATAATAACGAATTTTTTTTAGTTGTATTTAGAGTACACCAAGAATTTCTTGAATCCCTGAATAGTGAAAATTCTTTTTCATTCTGTTTTTATGAACAGCATACACAGCAACAATAATAAAATTAAGTCTACAGCAGGAGAATAAAAATGAATTTATGTGCGGAAATATTTCCTTTAGTTAAAAATTTTCCGATTAATATTAATACATGGTAAGTTAACTGAAACATCATTTGATATTGAAACTGCTGTTAAATATATATCTTTCTAAAATTTCAGCGATATTAGTTGTTCCCCAACTACTATAAGTAACTTTTATATTATGTTATGAAAACTTGTTATTTTGAATTATTATGTACTCCTTTCATCTATATATTGCCTTTTATTTCTCAACAGATTTAATCTCTTCTTCACTGCCATATTTTTATTTCATTTTTCTAGAAATAACCTTGAGCTTATATTTATTTCGAATATATTATTTTGCATAAAGTAATGATAATAATTAACAATAGCAAAATGTAGCTACACTTTATCGAATATTAAATTTTTAATTTGTGCTAAAAGTTTTGCGCATTAATTTTATTCTTATGTTCACATCGCTTCATTTTCATTTGTAGATGTTTCTAAAGTACTGAGCGTTTTAAACAGAGCGATATATCTACTAGAAAATGAAGTTCCAGATTCTATCAAAGATCTGAAAGTGAGTATTATATTTGCACTTCAAGCTGAATATTCGATCATTTCCATTTTTCTTTCTGAAGTAAACATGTAACATTTTAAATAAAATACAGAATGCTAAACCTGCAGCATTTTTGTTATTTTATTATTTATTAATGTTTAAAAATTATTTTATTTTTATTAAAAATTGTTTTTTTAATTATAATCATTAAAATGTATTATATATTATTATTTTAAAATTCAAAATAGGGATAGGTAATAAATTGTTTATTTTTATTTGTATTGCACATTTACTTATATGTTTATTCATTGCAAATAGTAAAATTATTATGTATTACAGACTGCCCAAACTTGTGAAAATAATTAATTTAATATTTTAAAAGTCATTAAATTATTGGATAAATTTATAGTGTCTAGCCTTCTTATGTAGCATAAAATTAGACCAGTAATCTTAAAGATATATTGTGAATTTTCATTATGTCTTGTAAGCACGACAGACAGGGAAAGAGTGTAAAGGATCCCTTATTTAACGTGAATAAAGTTTAACAGCCGGCGTCAACTTTTGCTTACAGAAGCCAATGGTTTTGGCTTAAATCAAAAATAATGGATGAACTAAAATTGAAGAAATGAAGTGCGGCCTAACGGCTTCACAGTATAACTAAGGTGCGTGCTGGTTCTGAACGAAGTCGGTGTAAACAAGCATAATGGAAGAATAACTCAACGTCGCAGAATACTAATCGCTAGAGAGTCAAAGTAGCAGCGTGGTCCTCAAGCAGGCATAACACGCTTTATTTTAACCTCTAAAACATTCCTTTAAATACTCTCTACTTTCTGCCTTATTTGAATATCGTACGAGCTAGAAATTTACACTCTGGCAGAGAAATCGAAATTAGCCTGACAGGATAGCCATTTACCTTAAAATGACTAGTCAGAAACTTAAATGATACTTGATTAACCTCTCAATTAATACCTTTTAGTGCTTACGTATCTTTGTTTTATTTTTCTCGGCTTGACAAAACGACTTTGTTTTTAAAAAGATTTCATTTCTCACATTTTGTTTGTCTTTTATTTCATGTAGAGTTAGAATTTAAAGAAAAAAATAACTGCTTTCCAACAGGTTTTTAAACTATGGTTTATTTTAACCTTAAATTTTTGACACTTTTAAGGCAGAAAGAAAGTTTATTAAAGAGGTTTTAACTCTTAACTCCCGTTGAGAAAATTGAATTAAATTGTTAAATAAATTCAGTAATAAATTCATATTTGGCACTGCATTTTTTAATGGACATAATTTGAATCAAAGTATATATATCAAAATTGTATATCAAAATTCATTTAACACATATAATTTTATTTTTTCACAAATTTATTTAACTCACGAGAATACGTTCAACAAATGGGCTAAGTTTCTGGTCGTCTTGAAAATAGATTCGTCCCAGGTTTCGAAATGCATGTATCTTTTCTATAGAGCTTAATAGTTAATTAATTTCTATAGAGCTTTCTATAGAGTTTTGTTGGCTTGTTCTGATGCTACCCTCAGACAAGTGAGATAAGTCACAACAATAACAACAACACAAGTACTAATGTCAGTTTGATCGAGTTTAAGAGCCTTGTGTCACGATGTATCAGTACGATTTAAATCTTCTTATATTCCTAGTTTTTTAAATATAAATTTGTCTATATTTCATTCTCTAGCTTATAATTAATTTATTTAGAAAATATATACAGTGCATTCTCCATTATCCGTTTGCTGTTTATCCGTGCCTGTCAGGCCCACGAATGCACACTCAAAGCCATGCGCGAGAGTCTAAAAAAACATGCGCCATTCCGAGCATGCTCTAAAAACCTTTGAATTTGTCTTTAGGTTAGTTTCAAAGATTACCTCGTACAGTTCGTTCTGCATATGAACAAAAACATCGTTTAGATTTATCACTGGGATTGTTTAGTTTCAAAGATTACCTCGTATTCGTTCTGCATGTGACCAAAAGCATCGTATAGAATGATCGCTGGGATTGTTTAGTTTCTTATCTATGTTCGCGCATCTTCTCTTCTTATTCTTTTAAAAACTAATTTAAAATTTTAGAAGCAAAATTAAATAAATAACATGTTACAAGTACTAAAGTCGCCCAACCAGGATAGCGGTTAGCCAAGCTGACTGCCGTACCAAAAAGCCTGGGCTCGAATCTCGGAGAAGGCGTGGATGGTTGTAAATGTATTGTGTCTGGGAGGCGTAGGGGCACTCTAAATATGCGGCGAGCCGAAAGTCCTCTCTGGAATTGGTGGTAGGAGAAGAGAGGTGGGTGAACTTCGGACCCGTCCTCCTAGGGCTGGTCTCCGTCAAAATTGGGAGCGGAACTGAGCAAAGTCGTACTGTCAGGTTCTTGCCAACGACAGGTGTAATTTTGCACTTCTTGCCACAAGGAGTTTTGTTGGCTTGTTCTGATGCTACCCTCAGACAAGTGAGATAAGTCACAACAATAACAACAGCACAAGTACTAAGCGTTTGAAACGTCACAAGAACAGAAAGGGCAGATAATTATACTGAAAACACAAGCGAAGAAGATACTGACAATTACAATTATCCGAGACAGCAGTGATTTCTGTTCAAACTCAACTGGACTTCTTCACCAAAGGAGTTTCGAATCCATTTATGAAACAGCACTTCGAAAAACTCGCAAAGAAATTCAACAAATATTTAAGCGTTCTCAAAAATAAAGATCACTGATGTTTTTAAGAAATAAGCACAACCATTAAGCATGAAAATTGATATTTTGTATTATCATTGTTTTTTCAGTTATCCATAGAATGCGCTGCACTTGCACTTCCTCAAATCTTAAGCTACCAAAATTTCTATGATTACAATGAAGTTTTAAGTTATTATAATTTTTAATTTATGAATAATTTACTATATTGATTTTTTTCTTCCTATCTAGGATTATTATTTTTGCCTAAAATAATTTTTCAGAAATTTCTATAGTGAATGGGAAATCTAAGTGAATGGTAAGAAACCTAAGTTCTTTTCCTGTACATAATGTTAATATACTTATATTGCTTGCACATTTTACTTCAGATCTTAACTGTACATTCAAGAGTTTCTTTGTTGCCTCTTTGTAAAAAAGCTCAAAAGTTTTTAAAAGTTTTTAATTAAAACTGGGTTTTAAGTTCCATTTTGAAACAAAAAATGTATATCTAGAAATTTGTAAATCAAAACTTATTATTCTTGAATTTATTTATATGTTTCTCGTGGCTATTCTTAAAGTGCAGAACAGTTACTTTCATGCTTTGTCATTAATCCTCCTGATCTAGATTAGGTCTCAAATTCTTCGCGATCAAGAAGGAAAGGTGTGCACTTTTCGTTGGCCGAGGCTTTGGCCACCTTATAAGTGCTAAAGCAAATTCATTTGCGGTTTTGCAGCTGAAGATGATGGTTCGGTAAAACCATCGAAACTAGTCCTGTGAAAATTTTGTAAATTAACGCTGATTTTTGTTGTTTGACTTCTGAATTAGTATTTATTCGGCGTGTTATTGTGTCTTAATTCAAGTTTCATCAGTTGAAATTTTGGGGGAGATTCCAGGAAAAGACAGGTATTTTTTACTACTAGTTATTAATTTTTTTAAATAATTGTTTAGCAGTTACTTTAATTAAAAAAAGGATAAAAATTTGGTAAATGACAAAAATTTTCAACTCAAAATTCTAAATATTTACAAGAAACTGCAAATAAATACGAATTATCTCGGGTACCATAAATTACTTCTACTTATGTTACTTCTTTCTTATAAAGCGAGAGTTCGTATTTCGCAGGATAAAATTTAAGTATACAATTTTTGCTAAATTAGTATATTGCCAGTTACTGTATATGTTGCTTATCGTAAAATAATTCTTTTGAAGTTCACATCTGCATCTTAAAAATAGTCATGCGCTTATGAAATATGCAGCCTAAGAATTTTATTACAGATCTAAATTTCTTTATGCGGAAATGATATTGTATTTATTAGAGTACAATTTTATATTTTTTTTCACATATTATAAATATGTATATTTACCCTTACAGGTTTCTGAATTCGCTTAAAATTGCTAAAAGAAGAAATATTCGGCTAAGAATGGACCGTAACCAGAGTGCCAAAAGTGAGTGACAAGAATGTGTTATAGTCACTAGTGCTTATGTATTACACTAGTGCATGTTCTTCAGCAAATGCAATCCCATTTCGATTATATTCGATATTTCTCTGTCAAGGATCCAACGGCTGTTGCAGATTGGAATTCAAAAGATGTGGCATATTGGTGCTGAGAGGATGAGGAGATGTTTTCTATCTTCAGCATCAGATATAGAATGCATGTCTGAATGCATAAACTGTTTGCTATAAAATACTATGTTTACATATAAACTTGTTTACTGTTTTCATAGTGTCTAATACTCTTTCTATTATTCCTTGATTTAGATACTCTTTTTCTATTTCTATTATTCCTTGATTTAGATACTCTTTTTCTCTCTCTCTTTAAGTATAATGCATTATAATGCTGCATTTTTCTCATCAGAATCTTTATTCTTTTTTCTGCGACACCAAAATTATTGCCTAAATATTCCCAATATTTCTTCCAAGACAGGCTAACAGTATAACGACCATCTTTGAAACTAAGAGTTTTATTGAATATCTCTAATTCTTTATCTTCATCATTGGGATCATTTCTTAAATCAATTTGATTCCAAATCAAAACACTTTTTAAATGTCAATCAAGCACTATTAATCAAAAAACATTTTTGTGTCCAGGCGTTGTCTTAATGCATTAATTGTTTCTCATTCGGTAAATTTTCAATGCTTCCGTTCACCAAATACCCAAATGCTGAGTTTTGTAACACTAAATTTATATTGGTACATACATTTTTCCAGATTTGATCAAATCGAAAAATATTTCAGATCCAAGAAGTAACTAAATTTTCCCCTCTTCGTGAAAGTCTGGATCAGTTAACGTAACTCTTTATGGAATCGCAATATTATTGTCATCAATTTGTCTAAAAGGGATCAAATGAGTAATTGTCGTAATTACGAAAAAGTGTAGTTCACGTCTGTACGTTTCTTTCTCTATCAAAAATAACCGTACTCATTTTTGATTTCATGTTTGTTGAAATCCGTGATAAATATCCTGCTTTTCAGCTAATTCCGATGAACAAAGATGAATCATGCTTCCATTACCAAGCAATGTTCTGCCTGGAAATGTTTTCTCTTCATTTCCCTCAATGCAGAGGTTCTCAACCTTTTGACTAATATATACCATCTAAACAAAAAATTGAAAAACTTTAGTACCACCACTACATTTTACAATGATTATTTTTTAATTTCTCAATAGAAATATTAAATAAATAAATATATATATTGCCATTTTCACAGCTTATTGACTATTTGTATTAATTATGAATTTTATTAAATATGGAGCTGTAAAAATATTAGATTAAAAATTAGTTAACATTTTAATTATCAAAATTTTAGTTATAATACTTGAATTCTAAAATTTAGTGCAAAATTTAGGCCTCTTTAAGTGAGATCAATATCTTTATGTCTGGTCTTTTTTCACTTAATTTTAACTGTAATCAGGATCCAATTTAAATTTTGTTTGTATTTATTTTTCAAATATAACACAGAAGAAAATCCTTATTCACACTAATAAGTTGTGCAAAAAGACCATAAAATTCAATAAGTTTATTTGAAATGCCTTTAAATTCTTTTTATATAAACGAATATCCAGCTATCGAACGGAATATAGCTATAGAATATGTGTTGATGGAACAGCTGCAATTCGTAGAATTCACCTAACCGTGCACAGAAACATAATTATATTATCAGCTTTTTCATAGTTGCTCTGGTATGAACCGTGCATGCTTATGCCGGGGTAATATACCTGAAAAACAGAAGCAGAAAAATTAGTTGTTTAATACAACTGAATGGACGTATATGTCTGAAAATATAGACTTAGACATGAATAAATCAATTCACTCGGAATCATTTCAGGAGCTGTCTTTTGTGTTCCAAAAGCACCGCAGTGACAACGCCTTATTACCCTTCGAACTTGACAACCCATAACACTTTGTTAAAAAAATATTTATATTAGTATTAAATTAATAATTATAAAATATGTCATGAAACCCTTTAAAATAATACATGCCCTTTCATATTTTGAGCTATGAACTAACCCTTATATTAAAGAGCAAGAAACAGAAATTTTGACATGCAGTCCTTAGCCTAGGAACACTTTTATCTTATTATCCGCATACTACGCTACCGCAAAGTTCACAAAAGCCCAGTTCACAACAGCAGATTCGACCGGTGTCGAAACCCTGTTCTTCCAAAGTGTCCCATTCACACTGCGAACAAGCTTTAACAGTAACGTCTCCGTTCTGCGGGGCTTACGCTTCACGCATGCGCTGTGATACGCTTTGCTAGCGTAATAGGCTGGCATCTGCTATGTCCGCTATTGACGATTAAAGGTATGTTGTTCCGCTAAATATTAATACGAAGTTAATCCTGACTTACCAGTTTACTTGTGTCTTATATTTAGTGTGATTATTATGGAAGAAAATTTTTTATGTTTGGAATGTTCAAAGTCCTATTCATTCCGACGAAATCTACGGGCGCATGTTATTAATTGCCATCCTCCGAAACTACAGGAATTAGCTCCTACATTGAAAGAACTTCTCGCAAATTTACATGTGATTGTTGTGAGGAAGTTTTTTTCAAAACAAAACCTTCTTCGTGCACATGAGCCCACAGAACATGGGTAAAAATGACGCATCTGAAAAAATAAGATTTATATATATAAGAAAATAATGGAACTATTTATATCAATATAACCATACAAGAATTTACAGCATTTTTGATTGATGTCTTTCTTATACTGAGTTACGGGAAAACGGTTTTGGTGAGATAGTATCTTTTATTTCAATAGACAACAGTAAATTAAAATGGTCTGAAATTGAAGCTTCAAATGAAAGAAAAATGAATTAACTGTCCCAAATTATACAATAAATATGCGTCAAGTTTTTGATGAATTAATGATTTCAAAAGGTTTGGTTAGCTAATTATGCAATTTAGAAAAATAAAAATTGTGAAAAAAGTGGATACAAAATTTCAATCATTTCAAAGAAAAACACATTTCATTGCACAGTGCCATTTAAATGATAGAATACATTTTCAAGCATGCGAGACACACTGGCAGCAATCAAAAGAATATTGTCAATAATAAGCATCATTAAAAAATGGTTGGAAGAAAAAGTTAAACTGGCTGAATCGACAGAATTAATAGTGAACTAAATTGCAGTGAATTTTTCGATACTGTTAATAACAAAGAATTTTTAAACAAAGTTCACACTAGTGATAAAAACACTAGTGTGAATAATATATTGAGTTATTAAAAATTTATCTTAACTCATTGTTGGTTTTTTTGTTAATAACTTCTTTATTTAGCCTTTTCAATCTTTCTTTAGTTTCCTTTTTTCGTACTAATTGCTTTTTCAGGTTTTATTTTCTATGCGAGTATTTTCTCAAAATTATACCGGTTTGAACAAAAAAAAAATATGGTAAGCCTAGTCATTAGAGGATCGATTACGAATAAAGTATATGTCTTTTGGGTTACTAATAGGTAAGATAATGTAATCAACAAGAAGAATATATAGACATATAATATAGAAAAGATGTACATAATATATATGTTACGGCGAAACACCGAAATCTGGAGAATGTCTACTTTCACCGGTGAATGTCAACCTTTATATGGTCACTTGGTGTACGTCCAAAATATTTTCCAAATAGTCTTATTTCTGACTTACACCGGTAAATGTCGACATTTACCATATACTAATGGTGAATAAGAATATTATATTTTCTTCTCCGTAATTCAGTCGCGAAAAAATGCACTTGAGACTTAAAAATAAGAACATAAGAATTTAAAACACGCAGTACATTCAAATTGAGAAAGGAAAATAATAGAAGTTAAAAACTTACCTAATTATACAGTAAGTTCTAAATGAGAAAATAAAATAATAGTAATAAAAATCTTACTAAATTATGTGATTCAAATCTTATTTATTGCAACAACTTAAAATATTATGACACTTTATGACTTCTCTTTTCGACCTACACCTACTACCATGATTATATCAATAATTTTATATAGTCTGGACACCGGTCGAGATCGATATCGGAAAACCAGTCGGGATTCTCTTTCCACTCGACAGCAGAAGGGAGAGCGAGTCTGGCCCCTTCAAATTCCGTCGGCGGAAAGTGAAGTGGAAATTCCGTGCGGAAGTGACGTTTATTGCATAGCAACCAGTCTGTCTCACCTCTACATTGCTCCAGGCTCAGGGGAAGGGGTAGTTTGTTGTCAAAGGGGCTGTTTCGCACGTGCTTATTATTGAGAATGGCGACAGAAAAAAAAAAATCGAGTTCCAGTAAATGGTGAAATTTTTCGAAAAAATACGCTGGATTTAGTAAAGAGTATGGAAAAAAGAAATGGGGAACGTTAATGGATATTTTAAACGCAGAAAGAAATGGCCTTTTCAAAACTTCAGGTATGTGAAGAAACGTAAACATAATTTTACGTATAATCTTTTGCAAAATGGAAATTTTCTAAAAGGTTACATGTTTGTAACTATTGTTAACAGGAATTTTTTATGATTAAATACATTATTTGTTTGAGAAGGTTTTATGCAAACAACGTCGTAAGTCAAATCATTGAAATATAGCACCGCGTACGCGTGTGTTTTAATCCTAATGAATTTGAATAAAAAAAATTTAATTTTTAGCAACCCATGATTATATCAATAATTTTATTATTCAGGGAATTAACCTATCACGTAGCTAAAAATATACTATGTACCGTAGATACCAATAAGCAGTGAGTACAAAATATAACAAACTTCTAACAAAAGTAATACGGAAGAAAAATAAAAAAAAAATTAAATAACTATACGGGTTAAATCATAAAACATATTATCTTGCACGCATACACACACGTATATATTTTAACATATGCAAGTTGAAAGGAAATTGCAATACATATTCCTATTTATACCCTTTTTAAATCGATCCCACCAGTGACCGTGTTGTAAAACTCGCTGAACCACTAGTAGTTCGGTCCGAGGTCCAGATACTGCGAACAGGGTTTGTTACATTACTAACATATCTCTGATAACCAATATATCTGTCATCACCAAAATATTTCTCGTAATTTCCTAAAGCATAAAAAATTAAGGCATACAAAACCTGTTTTAAATAAATAACTATATGTATATATAAATGTGTTATAAATATATTAATATATGCAGTGGAAGGAAATTGCAGTGCATATTCTTATTTAAGCCCTTTTTAAGTCGATCCCACTAGTGTCCGAGCGGTAAAATCTCCGAACACTGGTAGTGCGGTCCGAGGTTCGAATCCGGCGAACGGGCTGGACGCATGGTCGTCATTACCAATATATATATATAACTGTATAAATATATTAACAGATGCAGTGAAAAAAATTGCAGCACATATATATTTATACCCTTTTTAAATCGATCCCACCAGCGGCAGGTAAAATCGCTGAACACTAGAAGTTCGGTCCAAGGTTGGAATCCCGCGAACGGGCTGGCTGCATGGACGTTTTCGTGGTTTTCTCCATGTGTTACGTGTATACGAGTTGGTTTCCCTTAGAATGTCCTCCACGAAGGTAATCCTCACTTAAGGCAGTTATCCCTCGAGGCTTTGCCGTAATTACATAGATCCCGAACCAATCACTTTTTAGATCTGAATAAAAATGCAGAAAATTGATGTAATATCTAAAAGTAGACCACATTAAAATATCTGATAACTAATTATAAATCATGCATTATATTATTTACAAGAATTTAGTTTAACCGAAAATTACATAGGAATTTAACTTGTTTTATACAGGAGATTCTAAAAGCTATTGGAAATTGACATTGATATCGGTACAGTTAAAACTACTTAAAATAAATTTTTTAACTCAAAGCAATTTAATGTAAATGTTGAATTTAGAATGCGCATAGTTTGAATTATATATTGCAGATTCTTTAATGCATGTCTAATGTATTACATTTTTAAACACTGCAAATTAAAATAAAAGTAGAGGGAAATACATTATAATTTAAAACATAAAATTTCAAAATTTACAAATTACTCTTCAAAACATGAAATTAAGTACATTGACATGTACATTAGTTTAAAAATTACAATTTTAAATGAAAAGTATGCACCCCTTCTTTATATGTGAAATAGGAATACACCAAATATATTACGTTCAATAAAATTTAGTTAAGGCATTGGTAAAGTAAATAAATAAATAATGTAGAATCGTCAGCATCAAATGCGTTATTTCTATTGCGAAATACTCGAGTTTTTCACAAATCTTAAGAAATTAAAATATCCATTACGTACAATTCCAAAAACAATCCGTGACCTCCGCCGTCATCAGTTTAGATCTAAAACGACAGTCAGAAACATAAACGGCAGCTGTCCAGCTGACGGAAAAATTTCCGACGCGTCTGTGTCTGTAATGATCGAGACGATGATACCAGACTTGCTTTCTGTCGAGTAGATCGCAAAAAACGACCCGTTCTTCTATCTTGACGGTGTCCAGAAGGCCCCATATCTGTGATTGTCGACATACACCAGTGAGGGTCCGAATATACAAGAATGTAATACAATATTCAATCTTTCGCCGACGTATTTGGTAAATGTTGACATTCGCCGGTGAAAGTCGACATTCTCCAATTTCGGTCTTTCACGGTAACATATATATAAGATATAGATATATTTAATTGATTATGGCAAAGCAAACAACAATTATTTGGATGAGAGATGCCTTTGTGGAAAATATGAATTCAAATAAATTTAAAAAGAAATTTTATAGCTGTAAATATAGTATAGAGTATCAAACAAAAATACATTAGGAAATAAATGTGAAATAAGGTTATGTAAATTGATTATTAGCCGTTACAGAAATCTACAGTATTAGTTCATCAGTATTAACATCAACACGGTATCTACAGTGTTAACATTGTGATGCTTCTTTGGCGAAATGAAGCAACTCCAATGATGGAACACAGCAATAACTTTTATTTAACACTCAAAAATGGCGACATACAAACAAGAGGAGAAAACATATTCTATCATTTAAAAATAAATTACGTTCTTCGTGCGAGAGTCGCACGAGGCACTCGAGTCTGGTTTCAAATATTGCCATTCACAAATACCTTAATGTTCATGTATTTAAATTATTTAAACTACAAGATTTTAATATTATTTAAAGCTGTTACAACCTCTCCCCCAAAGGAGAGACTTTTTCCGAAGGCAAAAGTTCTGTAAAATTCGATAATTTAATAAGCTCGGCTTGCTCATTTGCTTAAAGAGAAAAGGTAACTTCTCTGATAAATTTCCAAACTTCAGGTCAAAATTTTTAAGTTTTAAACAAATATTTTTACACCATATTTAAATAGGAAGAAAATGGACAGTGTTCAAATTAGTTTTCCTTTTTTTTTCTTGACGGCGCCTAGATCTCTTCCATGTTGGATCAGTTCTTCGGCTATAATTCACAACAAAGCCTTTCCTCAGTTCATCTGTGCCTTTCGGATAATATTCATTTGCTTTCGACAATTGTTTTCTTCGTCTATTAGTAGCGGCTTTGATATTAAATCAAAAGCCGAAAGATGATGATAACGCTGCATTGCAAAATGATTCTCAATATTAATTTCTTTATCGTTTTTTAAATTTTCGTGGACATCTTCGTCTTTTAATTCTGGTGATCTAACTTCTTCTTCAAATACATCTCTGGATGCTTTATTTTCTTCCTTCATCGGTTCCAAGCTATTTTTCTTTTCCTTTCTCTAATCGAAATGCTCTTCAGCTATTTTTTTTTTTTTCCTTTGAGCTCTAGTCGAAATGGCATTAAAATGGTATCACTAAGTTTACGTTCAAGTGATAAACTAATAAAATAAGGCAGTTCAGTGTTAACAGGAAGTAATAACCTGATATCACTAATATTACGTTCAGTGATGAACTAATAAAATAAGGCAATTCAATATCAAAGTTGTGATGCTTCTTTGGCGAAATGAAGCAACTCCAATGATGGAACACAGCAATAACTTTTATTTAACACTCAAAAATGGCGACATACAAACAAGAGGAGAAAACATATTCTATCATTTAAAAATAAATTACATTCTTCGTGCGAGAGTCGCACGAGGCACTCGAGTCTGGTTTCAAATATTGCCATTCACAAATACCTTAATGTTCATGTATTTAAATTATTTAAACTACAAGATTTTAATATTATTTAAAGCTGTTACAACATCAACACGTCAACAAAGAACAACGTCTATTTTGAAGAAAGAACAACGTCTGTTTCCGCATAAGCTTTTAAGTCCCGAGTAAATAAATTCCGCATTTCTAGGTTTATCTGAATAACAAATCTATTTATACACAAGACATCCCTAAAGACCCTTCTGTTCATCTTGTACTCTTTGCCGATGACACCGCCATACTTACTAAAGCCTGCACAGTTATCGCCGTAAGAAACCAACTCCAAAACTATCCCATAAAACTGGAAAAATGGCTCGCCCTTTGGAGGATTAAAATTAACACTGATAAAACTAAGGCAATAATTTTCCGTAAAGGAAACATGAAATACTATCTTCCACCCCCTGAAATATTTGACGAAGAAATAGACTGTATTAATGAAACTAAATACCTTGGAGTCACCCTTGACCAAAAACTTACCTTCAGAACCCACTTCCGGTCAGAGTCGTAGCTAGGGTTTTCAGCGCCCAGGGACAACTGAAGATTTCGCGCCCCCTACTGCTTGCCAAGGATGGAAAACATTTAATTCTAAAATGTCGTAACATCAGTTTTACGCCCCTTAGATTCTGCGCCCGGGTACAGATGTCCCCCTTGCCCCCCTCTAGCTACGCCCCTGCTTCTGGTTCGTAGTCAAAAAATTTAAAATCAGCACAGCTACTATGCGACCTCTTCTTGGTAGGAAAAGCAACTTATCTACTATAAACAAATTAATTTTATATCGCTCCATACTTCGCCCAGCTCTCCTTTATGCAGCTCTGATCTGGGAGCATGCAGCTAAAACCAATATTAAGCAATTACAAATTCTGCAAAATAAAATTCTCCGAGAAATTATCAATGCTCCTTGGTATATTCCAAACATCTACATTCACAGAAACCTTCAAATCGAACTTATTCAAGAGTATATTAAACGATTAGCAGTCAACTTCTTTTATTCAGTACAAACCCACAGTAATAGCCTTATTAGCATTCTCAGACACTCAATTACGTTTTCCGCTTGTGTGAGATATCCATATTAAAAATCTTTATATCAATAATCTCTGCTGTAATTATTTAATTTGTAACCTGCACGTTGTAGCCCTGAGAGTTGTAACGCAATGCATACTCAAAAAATTGGAAACACGCCATTCTACTTGTCATTAAAAAGTCTGGCAAAGCTGGAAATCTCACAAGTAGCTTTAGACCGATCAGTCTTCTGCCTGCGATTGCCAAACTTATAAAGTCTGATATCCGGTGATGACGTAGATGCACTTTTGATTTGTGAAATTTTGATGCACACTCGGTGTGCGGTTTCTACATCTTGACACTCGAGAATAAAATACGATCTGTGTGTGTGTTTGGAAGCATGAGCTAGGAGGTAAAAAAATTGCTTTTTTTTTTTTTTTTTTCGAAAACAGTATATATATTTGATTGTGTTTCGTTGTCAAGTTTTCTCTATGTCGACCATTTATTTCCATGTGAAAAAATTTCTAGATTGATATTTTTATGAAATTATCAGCAAAGATCGTTTTCAAATTCAAAATATAAGAAAGATAATACCTGTATGGAGAAATCCCCAGTATTAACATGCATTTGATGAGAAGGCCTAGATATATTCGGGAAATAAATATATTATGGAGGAATGTTTAATTTGCTGAAAATTTCTGTGCTGATATTCTTGGTAAATTGTTTGGAATTTTGTAATCTAGGGGGGGGGGTAATATTGAAAGCGCATCTGGTAATTATTTTGTAATTTTCTATTTATTATCTTCTGATCCCTGCAGGTGAATGAAATGAAAATGAATCGTCAGTTTAATAATTGAATTAATAGGAATAAAAATTTCTAGAGTGATATTTTATGAATAAAAATGTTTAAATATATATTTTAATTTCTTTTTAGTAATTCACAACATTTGTTTTTACTTTTGGTTTTGAATTTTACTTTTACCCTTGCCAACATGGATGACGAATCACGAATTGAATAATTGAGGAGTTAAGAAGTTTGGAGGCAACTTCCCCTTGATAAGTTTGTCTCCTGCCTGCTCAGCAATTATTCACTTATGCATTTTAATGAATTTCTAGGATTAAAAATTTTTTTGAATTATATATATTTTTTTCATAGATTTTTGATACTTGCACTTGATTTACATATGCTCTCAGAATTTAAATGATATTGTAGATTAGTTCGCAGCAATAATTAATCATTTATTTGTAATTCAATTTCATTTAAAATTTAATTAACTTTAAATTTGCTTCTTACGAATAGAGAATGTTTGTTAAATTCAAATAGGAATAAAAATGATGATTCTTAAAAATTCTAGAACTTTTTTCCAACATAAGATTACAAAAAATGGTCACACGATTTTAATGCGTAAAAGTTAAGATGCGTTAAATGGAACCTATTAAACATAGTTTTCTTTGATGTATCAGTTTTATCTGATATTAAAGCACTACACATGTTCCCACGAAAGTGAAAGATTGGTTTTAAAAATTATCTGGTTATATCATTTTTAAAAGTTATGCCACAAATGTTATAAAATTCTCAATATTTTATCAAATGAAAAGATTAAAAAACCTTTTTTGTTATATTAAGTTACTGTTAGCTTTCAGAAACATGATTTATTATTTTTTGACATGAATTAAGAGTTTTGGTCATTGGTAACTTAATCAGGGTAAAAGTATATTTTAGGGTACCCCTTGGCGATTTATGGTGGTGCATGGGTACCGAGTTTGTGTAGTTCTTTGACTTGTTATTTTTGTTTGCGTAGTGGCGATCTTTGCTCCAAATATCGCTACACAAAGCCAAAATAACAAGACAAAGAATTGCACAAACTTGATATCCATGTACACATCGACCTATTTTCACTTAAAAAAAAATCCCAGAATTTCACAAAAATGGCATTGCGCACTTGCTTGACTTTATTCGTGTACACATCGAACTATTTTCACTTAAAAAAATATCAGAGAATTGTGCAAACTAGGCCTTGAGCATGCCCTTGAGTTTGTGCATGTACACATTGATATAGTTTCACTTAAAAAGAAAAAAGAGCACCTAATTCTATAGTAGTGGCAAACAAAAAATACATAATCTCAATTAACTACATTTTAAACTAGACAATAAAATAACATAAAAAAGGAAAAGCCTGTTAGGCATTTAAATACTACACAAAGCAAATATCCACTTACCTTATTTAGAAATCCCTTCGTATTCAGTCTGTGGCACACAAAATTCCTTAACTGCATCCAAAAACTTCCTAAAATTATCTAAACTAGAATCTGTGGTACTTTTCTGTTTGGCCGACGCAGGCGATAAAGTCGCCAATAATGGTACAACTGATGCCAAACGAAATATCTTCGCTGGTAACCTTTTACACTTCATTTTCAAAAAAAGTCGAAGCCATTTTTTATCAGATTAATTGGGTCTTATTTTCAATGCTGGCATACAATTACATAGAATTTTTACCAGATGGTTCAATTTATGCCCTAAGGCCATTCGTGGTAATTAAGTCAATTAGGATGCAATCACACAGCTCACCCGAAGACGAAATATAGAAAAGGCAAAGTCAACGGTCAAATTCGTCAAATTTAATGAGAATGCACTAGCGAAGTAAAGCACTGCGGTTTTACATAATTTCTGAGTAAGCTATTCCTACGAACTGAAATAATTCTTGCATTTAAACTTGTATTTTAAATTAAGATTTAACTTGAAATTGATGTAGATAATTACTGAGAGAATTAGAAATTTTGTAGAGTTGTTTACGTGAGATGAAATCACTTGGGATCGCGTGATACGAACCGGCGAATCAGGATGTTGAACCATGAAAGCATAGTAAATTCTTAAATGAATGTCCTTTTTTAAAATTTATTGGCCTTTTACAGAATTTTAAACGATATTAAAATGTCTGTGCCTTCAAAATAAACAATTCTTAGAAGTAACATTTTTTATGTGTGTACTTTATGTTGTCGCCAATAAAGTCTGCTTGGCGAGATTTGCGCCGGCGAAACGGAAAAGTACCGAATCTGTATATCGGTGTAGCCACATAAATTCACAAAAATAAGAGTCAGAAATATCCTGTGTATTCCGGACTGTCCAGTAAATGGCTACTAAGTAAACCTTCATTTACACACCAGTCAATTAAGGAACTTTTCCCCTTTCATTCCAACTCGTACAGAAACTTCAAATTAATCTTACTACATTCAGTCCAAACAATGAAACAAGCAATGTACTTCCTAACTACTTGCACCACAAAAGCCCTTACAAAACATCCCACGATTCAAAATTTCCCAGAATAATGCAAACAATTATGTCATAATAAAATTTCCATAACATTCAACTACTCAGGTTACTATAAATGAAACAACTTGGCGATAAACGAAACAACAACTTGGCGATAAATGAAGCAACAATTTTGTGATAAATGAAACAACAACTTTGCGATAATACAAGGGGTACCCTAAAAGTCAACTCTAACCCTTAATCAGGTAATTGTTGGTAATTTTGCTGATACATTTAAAAGGATTGCCTAACTCTCGATATTTACCCATGAAAGTGAAAGATTGGTTTTAAATCGCCAAATATTATTAACATATCAAAAGAAAACTCTCTTTAGCAGTTTGAAATACATATTTTAATTATTAAATTAAGATTATATATTACATTAAATATTATGTATATTATAGGATACATTTCCATTATTCTAGGCCCACCACTGACCTAGCTGTAAAATTGCTGAACACTGGTAGTTCAAACTTTGGTTCGATTGCAGGCGAATAGGCTGTCTGCATTGCTGTTTTCGTGAATTTTCTCAAAAGTGTATAAAGCCAGTTTCACTTAGAAAGTCCTCCATAAAGGCATCCTTCCCCTTAGGCAGATAGCCCCCGTGTGTTATAGCATAGTAAACTATACCACTACTATTGTTCTATATATGTTATTTAGTTTTACTAAAAAAATGAACAGAATTGCATTATCGCTGTATATATATTGTTTCGTTAAAAAAAAAAAAAAATTAAACAGTTGTGCAAACTCGACAAAATCATCATTATTTAGCAACCAAGAAAGAGAGGTTACTAAATTAAAATCATTAATTATAACAAAATTGCTAAATTTAGCATGCGTACAGTGCTTTACTTTAACCAGATGTTTTATTACTCCTTTAAAACTTAGATCTCAGTCATTCTTGTGTCACTGATTTCAGTTCTTGTTTTGAAAGAAGATATATTTTTAAAAACTTAGTATTTCATTTTTTTTTGGTTTAATAGGTTCAATAAGATCTCAAATTTGAACATTTAGAAGGTATTTTGACTATTTCAGCAGTATTAAATCTGACAGAGCTTCACAGTCTCAACACTCTGCTTGCAGCCATTACTTTAGTAGGGCTTTAATGAATTACCTTGTCAATTAAGCTTTTGTGCTGATGATTTTAAGTATTTATAATATCCCTGTGATGGCATTGATCCATTGTAGCATCAATAAGCTAAATCTAAGATAATGGAGAAACAATTATGAAGTAAAGATATGTGTTGCTTAAAAGAGCGACATAGACTTTTATATGGTAAAAGTATATTTACGGGTATCCCTTTAGCAAAAATTGGCAATTTTTGGCGGCACATGGATACCGAATTTGTGCAATTCTTTGACTTGTTATTTTGGCTTTGTGTAGCGGTGGAAAATCAGTGCTACACAAAGCCAAAATAACAAGTCAAAGAATTGCACAAACTAGGCATTATGCACTCCCTTGACTTTATTCATGTACACGTCGACCTATTTTCACTTAACATCAAAGAATTGCATAAACTTGACATTGTGCACTCCCTTGACTAAAGGAGCATCTAATTCTAGGTAAAAGTATATTTATGGAACATACAACTGCTCAGGTTATTTTAAATGAAACAACTTAACGATAAATAAAACAACAACTTCGCCGTAATACAAGGGGTACTCTTCAGTCTACCCTAACCCTTTATATGATAACTTCTGTATTGTCTTCTGTTGTTGGAGTTAACTTTAGTTTTTGAAATTCTTTTTTAACTATCTTGAATACCAAAAATTGACTATCCTATCATTGGTATTAAATTAGTTTCTTTACCTTACTCCAGTATTCAGAGCATTTTATTGGTACTCTTTGAATATTTTATCCTTAGCAAAAAGCCGTAAAAAAATGTATTCATGAGGTATTATGCCGTATTGCCAGAAAGTATTTATGTAGCAATGCAGATATGAACATAGCATCTCCCTAGTGCTTTCCACTTCTCTAAATTTTAAGTTGTAACAAAAGATTATGATCCCTCATATGGGATTTCAGCGTTTTAATATTGCAGTGGATTGCATACTTCAGCTTTCAACACATTTGACAAAATCTCAGACTTAACAAAAAAATTTCGATTGACAAGTTAGTCGGTATTCTCGACACAGCAATTACAGGACTTCAACAGTTCAACAGTGGAACTTTGTAACTGAACAAGAAATTATGTCTGTTTATAGAATTAAAAAGAAAGTATTAGCACAAAAAAACGAAGCAATTTAAACAACTTACATTTAAAGAAATGTTTAATGTAAACAAATAAATATTAAGCCCTTTTTTTATACCCTTTAGATCATAATTGCTCTTTATTACATAAATTCATATTTAATTTATGATTTCAATGCCTCTTACCAGATAAAATTGATATCTAATCGGAATCGCGAAGTCCGAGATCGGATAAGGACTTTGTACTATACAGTCAAAAGTCATTAATCCGACTCGTCGGGACTTCGGCGATTCCGGATTATAGATCATCAGTTTAAATCTGGTAAGATGGCATGCAGAAATTATAAAATTAAAAATATGAAACCGTAATTTATGAAATAAAGAACAATTATGATCTAAAGGGTATCAAAATTTACAAAAAAAAAAAAAAAAAAAAGCTTAATATTTATTTGTTTACTTTATTAAACATTTCTTTCAATGTAAGTTGTTTAAGTTGCTTCGTTTTATGTGATAATACTTTCTCTTTAATTCTATAAACAGACATAATTTCTTGTTCAGTTACAAAGTTCCGCTGTTCAAGTCCTATAATTGCTGTGTCGAGAATACCGACTAATTTGTCAATCGAAATTTTTTCGTTTTCAATAACCTCTGTGTCACTTTCTTCACTATCGGAAGCAAATTATAATGACGAGGAATTTGATTTAAATCATATCAAAGACGGAGTACATCGAGATGAAATACTACATTTAGTAAGGAATTATAAGCCAAATAAAATAAAAACATCTGCCCTGAAGATAAGGATAGTGCTGACAGATCAACTTCCAATTCATTGCACGCCGCAGCGTTTCCTTCCCCCCCCAGAGCAGCATGAAATTGATAAACAGATTTCGGAATGGTTAGAAAAACGGAGGATATGCCTTTATTCATTTTTTGCAACAATTCCTCTTTTTGCTTAATGGACTTCGAAACATACTTTCGCTTTGTAGATCCTTTACATATTAGTAAATATATATCGGAAACTCTATTTGACATAATCGAAAGTTCAAGCTTACTTTTATAAAATTGCTCTAACGGTCTGCAAAAAATAATAAGCTGTATCCAATTCGAAGATTAAGGAACAATGCAATCTGCAACATTAACTGAATTAGATAATTTTAGCTTAGCTTATATCGTCTGTTATACATTAAATGCGCATGCGTAAACGTATTATGCTCACACGCATATTCGCAGCCGTAAAGGTCTTACGCGCATGCATCAACGTGACACATGCGCAGAAAGTTTGTAGCTTTGAAGTCCGGATTATAGATCATTCCGGAATAATGGGTGTCTGAATTAACGACTTTTGACTGTATCAAATCCAATTAAAATTGAAGAGCTAAAATTTTGAGAGCTAATTTTTAAAAGAGTACTCATGCGAGTTTTACAAAACTGGGCAGTTCAGCATAATTTCATTCGTAGAATCTAAATGTAGAAAAGATTGGCATGTCATTTCAGAAAAAGTCCGATTTGTGTGTCAAAATACCTATATTAGAGCAATGCTATATATAAATTTATTACATATCCTAAGTTGTGCTTTCGAGACATGAAAAACACAAGCTGAATTTCGTCAATCAATGGGGTAGAATGGGAGATATAGAACTGTCCCCCCCATTTTTTTGTGCAGTGTACCTACATATATACATGCATATATTAACACATATGTCCATACATACATGCATATATTTCTGAATCTGGTCCTAATAACAAAAGAGTACCAAATATTACATTGTTGAAAAGGTACATTATTTATTTTCTGAAATGGTTTTTGAAGTAAAATGCGGAACTACTCTGATATGCGCCCTCAAGTCGCCAAAACCGTAAAGTTTCTAACCAAAATTATTTGACAAGAGTCCATGTATACAGCGATATGTTTTAACTTAAAAAAACATCTACAAATGGCACAATCTAGGCAACAAATGAATCTACGAACTACGCACACCTCACTTTAAGACATTAACATAAATATAATAGACATAACTTTAAGACAACAACAATAAATTTCAAAGGATACCATGTACATAGCATCCTGTTTAAACTTAAAAACATCTACAAATTGCACAATTTAGACAACAAACAAATCTAAGAACTACGCACACCTCACTTTAATAAATTAACATAACAACAATAAATTTCAAAGAATACCATGTACACAGCGTCCTGTTTGAATTTAAAAAAAAAAAAAAAAAATCTACGAATTGCACAATTTAGGCAACAAACGAATCTACGAACTACGCACACCTCACTTTAATACATTAACATAACAACAATAAATTTCAAAGAATACTATGTATACAGCGATCTGTTTCAACTTTAAAAAACATCTACGAATTGCACAATTTAGATGGTACGCAGTAATCAACAAAAATAACTAAAATAAATTCCAAACAATTCAAAAAAACAACAATAACGACAGAAATTCATACTAAAAAGCAATGAACATAACATTCTGCAAAATAAGAACAAGAATAAAATAAAATGCACTTACCATGAATTAATGCTTTTTCGAACAGCAGAAATACCAATTTCATACCGGCTTTAACATGCCGCCACGTAATCACTGTCGTATTTATATGATAGCCAGACACACTATCCAGAAAATTCATACTATGGTTCACAAATAAATAAAATAACAAATAATCACAAATCCCTACTTCTGTCATGCACAGCCACTAAAAATAATCTCCCAGAGCCCTCTTTCCACACTTCCAAATACCCATTGCCCCTCAACAGGATGGCCATGACAATATTTCCTTTTGCCGAACTTCAATTCAACAACTTCCACCATTTTATCTTTCCCCCTAGCTTCTCAGACACAGAGCATGACGCAAACCAACGAACTTCACCGAAAGATTTTTCAACGTCAACAGGGTTTCCATACAACACGCAATCGTGCCAAAAACCAGCACAGAATACATATTGCCACATTTGGTGAAATTAGGGCGTATATCAGAGTTGTACCTAAAATACAATTATGTGTTTATAACAACTATTTCAGAAGTTTTCCTTTTTTTCTGCAGGATTCAAGCTGTCATTATGATGAGTGCCCATTGTATTTCTATTAAAGATAATGATAAAGAAAAGAAAGGTAGTATTTTTTGACTATATTTATTTTTTGTATCAAATTAAATTGTATGTAAAACAAGAATAACTAAATTTTCACATGGAATGTGTTCATTTTTAAAATGGTTAAAAATTTCCACCCATCTTTTATCAATTTCAATATGTTGATTTTCCCATTGTTGTAATTTATCAGTGTTTAACCCTGCAGTGGAGGAGCCGGCGTACAGAGTACGCCAATGACATCTTTTTGGACTGTAATTTTTAGACAACCCCTTCCTGAGCTTCCTTCCTTCTTCTACCCTCCTAGAAACATTCCATGAGTGCAACGCATCTGTTATTTCTGGTGAGCCAGGTTTCCGCCTTCCTTCCGAAAGCAGTTCTTGTGAACATGTTGTGTAGGCGAACGCTGTATGCCACTCCTCCAGGTAAATACAGGAAAAATATTGTACCTCCTGAAGATTATTTGCACGTTTTAGAAGTTTCGGTTGATGAAGACTCCGACAATTTGAATAACACATCTGATGTCGATGAATTGGAAGTCATCGAACATTCTGATCATGAAAGTGACTCAGAAATTGAGGGAAATGTTTCTAAACTTCCTCATTTTCCTTCCTCAAATGATGTTTCCCCAACAAATAACGATTTTAGTGATGTTGAAAATGGTATAAGTGATTTAAAATATGATGACTTTTTTGTGAAAACAATTTACAAAAAGAAGAAAGTTTCTGAAAGAAGAAAAGGAAACTTATAAGTGGAATAAAGTTCCCCTTAAAAGCAAATTCGTCAGAACACCTCGAAAAAATTTGATGAAAACAATATTCCCAAGTGCCAAAACTTGTGATGATATAAATGATGAGCTTTCTGCTTTCCAGAAAATCATAAATACAAATATGATTGATGCTATTGTACAATATACAAATGTTTATCTCAAATGTAACAGGACTGCAGATGATCTCCAAATCATCTCAAAGAGAAGCATGTATGATACTAATAGATCAGAAATACTGGCCTTTTAAGGAATTTTATTCTTATTAGGGTGTAAAAAAATGTCAAAACTCAATTTGGAGGAAGCATGGACAAAAGACGGTACTGGAATTGAAATTTCACAAGGGGTCATAGGTCTCGAGCGATTCAGAAACCTGTGTGCTGCTATTGGATTCAACAATAAAGGCACAAGGTATGTGCGAAGAAAAACTGATAAGCTTGCTGCACTAAGAGAATTTTTTTAATCTTTCAATCAGAACTGTCAAAACTTTTATACACCGGGTGACGAATTCACAATCGACGAAAAGTTGGAACCCTTTTGCAGAAGATGCTCTTTTATTCAATTTATCCCCAACAAGCCCACAGAGTACGGTCTGAAAAGTTTTGTTGTTGTTGACTCATGAACTTGAAATTCATTGTAGCAATCAACACCCAGGACCTTACGAGGCTTCTAATTCAAGTATTGATGTTGTCAAAAGGCTTATTGGTGCATACGAAGGTTCCAACTGTAACCTGACAACTGATAATTGGTATAAAAGCTACCCGCTAGCTCAATATCTTCTTACAAAAGGTGTAACATTTGTGTGCACGCTGGAAGAAAATAAAAAGGAAATTCCAAATGAATTCCAGCCATCAAAAACAAGAGAAGTTGGCAGTTCACCCTTTAGTTTTCAAAAGGATACGACAATTGTTTCATATGCAACGAAAAAAATAAGTGTGTAATACTGCTCAGTACTTTACACGATGATGACAAAATTGACCAGGAAACGAATAAACCTCACATCATTCTGGATTATAACAAATGTAAAGGTGGACTCGACACCGTAGACCAACTTTGTAGTAATTTTACTGTCACCTGAAAAATCAAGAGGTGGACAATGACAATATTTTTTGCACTTCTAAACGTAGCAGGCATAAGTTCACAAGGGCTCTTGAACTTCACCAAACCTGATGCAACCATCAAGTTTAGAAGATATTTTTTGAAAAATCTAGCTACATCTTTGATAAAACCACATCTTCAGAATCGTTTGAAAAGGCCATTTCTCCTGTCGCATTCCAAAGCTATTATTAGAAGGCTGGTAACAGTAGAAGTGGACAAGAGGGCCGAAAGGGACGAGGAACCACCTGCAAAAAAGATAAAAGGACGCTGCGCTGAGTGTGGTAGAATGAAGAATAATTACATTACCATAAAATGTTCTGAGTGTTTTAAGTTTACCTGCAAAAATCATCTGAGCAAGACAGTACAACTTTGCAAACCCTGCTGCAGTGAACAGGGACAATCTGAAGAGGATTAAAGTAGCAAAACGCTTTTCATTTTTTGATTTGTGAAACTGAACTTTTCTTTATGGAATATTTATAATTTTTAAATTTGATTTATGATCTTATAGTTTTCATACAGAAAATAATAGCGAATTCTATATAACTTTAAATTACGTTTCCAGTGCATTCCATTTTTTGAATTAAAAATTCTTAATCTCCATCTTTACTGCTTTTTTTCTGTTATTCTTTTTCTTATATAATTTTTACTATGACGAATCACCTTATTAATGTCGTGTATAAGATTAAATAGTTTCAAACATGAAGCAGAGGCTCGAAAAACGACCTGGCGTACTTCATATACTGGCCCTCTGAAATTGTACCATACGCCAGCCCCTTCAGCTGAGGGTTAAATATACGTTCAGTCTTCTAATTTCTTCAAATACATGATTGTCATCGATTTTAATATCAGGCGTTTCTTTCGATAAAAACTCAAGACAATTTTCATTATCTGTCCAGTTTATTTGCGATGAAGTCAAAAAACATCATTTAAAACTGTTATTTATTCTGATGTTTGTTTCTGACCATTCTTCAACATATTGGAAACATATTTCATAAAAATTTTGTCTTCTTTGGTAAACTTTTCCGTTATGCCTGAATTTGATTCCTCTAAATTTGACAGTTTCCTTTTTATTGTTAAAGGAATAAATTTTTCTTCAAATCGTGATTTATACTGAAGGACAAAATCGTTCAAAATAAGGCAAACTTCTGTAGCTGAAATACGTAGCGTATTCGGAAACTAAGTACCGTTTCATTCTAGCGCCATTCCAGTGCTGTGGTAGGCATCCCGCGCATACACACTAGTCTTTTTTGTTCACTGACTTTCAATTGTTGCCATTTTGGTTGCTCTATGTTGTGTTTTCAGTTTGCTGTGCACATTCAAAATGTTTAAGACAATTAGTTCTCCCGCTGACTGTGAGATTCGTTCCGTGATTAAATTTTTTAACGCGAGGAATGTTAAACCGGTCGAAATTTATCATCAAGTGACAGAAGTTTACGGTGAATACGCGATAAGTGATGGAATGGTGAGAAAGTGGATAAGAATGTTTAATGCAGGTCGAACAAATGTCCACGCTGAGGCTCGGAGTGGTGGGCCTTCTGTTGTCACCGATGATTTGGTAAGGAAAGTTGATGAAGCAATTCATGAGAACAGACGCTTCACAATGACAACTCTTTCAGAGGCATTTCCACAAATTTCACGTACTGTTTTGTTCGAAATTATGTCTGACCACTTGAATTATCGCAAACTGTGTTCCCGATGGGTTCCAAAAATGCTCACTGATGTTCACAAAACAAAGCCACTGGGTAGTGCCCTGACATTTCTCACGCAGTACAGTGATGAGGGAGAAAACTTTTTAAACCAAATAGTGACAGGTGATGAAACTTGGGTGTGTCATTTCACACCAGAATCGAAACAACAATTGGTGGAGTGGAGACACACTCATTCTCCGAAAAAACAAAAGTTCAAAGTGATAATGTCATCACAAAAATCATGTGTACTGTCTTCTGGGATAGGAAAGGCGTTTTGCTTACTGAATTTCTTCCCAGAGGTGAAACCATTAATGTGGCACGATATTGTGAGACTTTAACAAACTAAGGCGTGCCATTCAAAACAAACGAAGAGGAATGCTCAAAAAAGGAATTGCGTTGCTCCATGACAATGCCGGGCCCCATACTGCTGGTGTCACTCAGTCGTTAATTCAACAGTTTCATTGGGTGCAGTTCGATCACCTGCCGTACAGCCCGGACTTGGCGCCGGTGGCAAGCACTTTGGATCTGACGATGACACGAAAAATGCTGGAGTCGTGGTTATCGAAACTGGCGGGAAGTTTCTTTAACGATGGTATACAAAAACTGGTCACCTGCTATGACAAGTGTTTGATCATTGGTGGAAACTATGTTGAAAAATAGTTTAAGATATGTATTTTCATGTAAAAATAAAATTGGATTCGAAAAAATTGTTTTACTATTTTTTTTTTTTTTTTTTTCAAAACGGTACTTAGTTTCCCAATACGCTTCGTATGTTCACATTCAATCTTTTGAATCATTTTTCGAAAACAGATGCCTGATTATGGACAAAATACATTAATACCTCCAATAATTCATTAATGAAAAAAGATTCTAGGAATTTTTGGACATTTGTCTAAACTTAAAAAATATGAACGGAAAGGCTCAAATAATTGTAAAACATGTGTAAAGCAGGTGTTAAAGCAGGCCATCTAACTTTTGAATATCCTAAAAATTTCTTGTATTCAACATTTTCATCTTCACAAAATTTTTTTAAAGCAGTCACTCGAACCTTAAAATGACTAAAATACAAATAAATTGTCATTATTACTTCTGCATCAATTGGCATGGCAGATGATGCTGTGTTTATTGCATTTGACAAAATATGTGCATTACAACCTATGCCTAGAATCTTGTAATTTTAAATAGACATTATTTACTTCTTTGCGTCTTCGCCCACCAAAATTTGTGTTTGTATTATCCATCCACTGTTAGTGCAACAACTTTATATTTCAAATTGTTTTCATTTATTACTCTGTATAGATGGTTCGCCAAAATTTCAGCAGTTTTGCCCCAAATGGACTCTAAATTAAAAAAATTTATGTGAATGCCCTTGTTAACATTATAATATCTTACTATTATTGGACACAATTTTGTTTCATTATGATTTGATGCATCATATAAAACCCATACAACTGCTGCATTTTTCAAGTCTTC